TTCCCGAAGGGCGCAGCTCCCGCCGGCGGCCCTCGCACCTCGGCCTGGCAGGGCGGCACCGCCAGTCCCCCTGAGGCCCTCGCCCGGGCCTTGAGCCGCTGGGGCTTTGCACGACGTCGAGTCCTCGGAGGTGCGTGCTGTCAAGTCCTCAAGGCACAAAAGTGGGCTACATCCAGGGCTGGCCTTGATTGGATGCGGTTTTAGGGACCACGTGCGTGCGATCCAGGATTGAAATTCCTTGCGTGAACATCCCTGCTAGGCTTTGCGTATTAGCTTTTATGGCTGTTTTTTAATTTAAGTCATCTAGAAAGAAGGTGAAAATAACTATTAGGTTTTGTAATAAAACACACGTCCTGCTTGTCATCACTTCCACGCTTCAGTTGCCTTTCGGCATAAACTCTGACTTGATTAGGATTCAAAGCCCGATACTGCTGCTTCACAGCGGAGTTAACACCAAACAGCTCTTATGACACCATGACTCCTGCATGGCCGTTTTTGGCCTTCAGGGATTGTATTTCCGTACAGTTTTGGATTGGCAAGGGGTGTGCCGACACTCAGCAATTCATTTGTCATCCTCTTCCCAAATTCCCTGTGTACTGTGCCCAGTGTGCTGAGTAATCTTAAATGGAAAAAGAAAAAAAAGCTTTTTTCTATTTTTTAGAAAGGTCAGTGTTTGTGTATACAGAAGGTAAGAAATATTGGGCATCTGTTAAGACTTTGCTTTTTTGCTGACAAAGGTAAACTGATTATTCATAAAATGTTTCTTTGGATTTAATATCCCACTATATTGAGTTGGGGAGCAGTGAGAAAGGACAGGAGCAGTGTAAGATTTGCTTGTTTCAGTAAACAGTGAAGTTGCTGTAAATACCTTCCCTTGATCTAATCCCTTTCATTGACCAATCTTCCTGTAGCCCAGGTTTGGGCTAATTTTAAATTTCTCAGAAAGCAAGGAAGGTACTCTTTCCTTCCTTTTCTGTTTTCATGCCTAGCTATCAGTCTGCAAGAGTGAATTCACTCTGACAGGCTTTTCCTACCTCCCCTTTTAATTCTACTAAACCAAGCACAGCTCTAACAAAGATTCCAGAGGAAGAAACTTCAAAGGCAGAGTTTTCTTAATGCTGTGTCTGTAACCTCTCAATGTCTGTTCAGTCCAGATGCCATCGATCCTAGTAGCTGCATTAACTTCCTGGTGTTGGCTAAGGGCATATTCAATTGCTCTATGTCTTTGTTTTATGAACCACTGAATCAAGATATTTGGGTATATTTTAGAATTTGTGTTATAATCACCATATCCAAAGAGACATAAACAGGAAATCAGACAGAATATTCTTGCTTTGCAGGTACAGCTGCACCAGCAAATATGATCCCTGCAAAGACATTCCCAGTCCAGCAAAGTGTGGGAGACACAGACGTCATTCTGAGGTTGAAGACTGTCCCATCTCTCCTGCCTGGTGAGCCTCAGCAGATTCATAAGCACTCCATGGTCTTCTCTGGATGTCCTTTCTGCTAGTGAAAAGCGTGGTGGCTGGGAGTGAAAACAAGCCACCACGGATTGAAGTTTTATAGAATGGTGTTAATGGCTCATGTCATGAGATTTAGTGAGCGTGTAACAATGCCAAATCATAGGAACTGGTTTATTGCAATTTGTCTTATCATAAACTCCTCAGGAATTGGTGGGCCTTTCTTGTTTTCAGAGACTATGCCTATTTGAGTTGTTTATGTAGGAAAGACATCAGAATGAGTGAAGTTGTGTAAAGCACAGAAAGATTTGAAGAAGGTTGTGCTGGGGAAGAGCAGCTAATGCAGGCAACAAGAATTTTCTTGATGGTCCCCGTCATTACAAATCAGTCATCTAGTTGGTTGTGAAATATGGTGTCACGCAGAAGAAGTCCCAGGGAAAAAGAAAACTATTTATTTTGGCTGTTAGGAGGTTGGTTGGTTGGTTGATTTGTTGGTTGTTGGTTTTTTTTTATGCAGTGGAGCTGCATTATTCATTCCATTAAAGTGTTCTCACTGAGATAACAACCAGAGAAATTAAGTAGGAGAAATTTTAAGAACGCAGAAAATCATTTTCAGTTCAGAGTTTAGGAAAAGGTCAGAGAGCAAGAAAGTTAGTGAGAATATTCGTAGTGCGTATAGCTGGGGCTGTGCTGCAGGTTTGCTGCAGCTACCATTACAATGAAAGCCTCAGAAGACTCTTCAGTAAAACATTATGCGACTTTGACATTGTTCAAATCCTTTCCATGCAGTTGTTGTTGGGAAACATCCTGTACTTGCTTACATAGAGAACTAAGAGTAGTCTTATGGGGGTTTCACGATGAGGTAGATACCTCAGCGTGAGTTCGTAAATACTGTGTGAAATATTAGCTGAAATGGGATTTTGAGAAAAGCCAGTGGAAAGGTGAGTTCCCATCTGTAAAAAGGCTCTTTGTCCTCCAACAGATACTAAAACATGGAACCTGTAGTCAAACCACTAATATCTTCATTCAGTTTTCCCTTTTCTTTCAATATTCCTGAGTGCCCACTGCAATACCAGTTTTTGTTTGAAGTCTGTTCTAACTTCGTCTGGCCTGTATTTGTAAATGACAAATCTAACACAGAGCAAGACAGGTAATCATGAGCATGTGGATACCCATCTCAGACATGGTATGATCTTAGTTGAGCTTTCCAGTCAGTGTCAGCTGGGGGATTCAAAGGAATGCTGCCAACTTTAACAGACTGATTTAATTCTGGAAATATCATTAGATCAGATAATACAGAGTTGAAAAACTAAAAAAGATTAGATTTTTTTAAAAAGATCAAAAATTAGTTTATTAAAATTTTGTGTTTAGCACTTGCAAATGGTCATTTTTACCTTTTCTCCTGTGAGTTTAGCCCGTTTCCCTTACTGAAAAAGTTCTTTTCCTAAGAACAGCAAATTGCATGGCTTGGCGTAAAGAAAACCATACACGGTAAGAGGTACTAGTATTTTTTTAATGTAAGACATTTAAAAGCTAGAACAAGATAATGTATGTAGCTCTTTAGCAGTTACAAATAACATATGTTCAATTTAGCTGTAGTTATGCTAATGGAAAATAGAAAATTGGAAAACACTGAAGGTAAAAAGGTTCAGAAAGAAAAAAATTAATTGGAGCTTTCCAGGGGCATAGTTTAGAAACAAAACTTAGTCACAAGGAAGCCAGCACAAATATTTGTTGCTTTTTATAGAATAATTATTATCCCTATATGTGTTTACTCACTGTTAAAAAGATCAAGATAATTTGTGTGAATAATACCTAATTACCTTTTATGGAGTAAGATAATTTTATGTTAGGTAATAAAAGAAGGATTCTGCAGGGAGGCAGAAGTCCTCTGCCATTGTACCAGTGCCCTCCTCATCTCAGCCAGTCTCTGCGGGGTGCTCATTAGTAGATGCTTTTTCTTAGAATCTCAGGTAAGCTTTGTAAGTTTTTTCCTCCCTAACAGATTAATTACCCGTGAGAGTTCCTTGAAGGAACTTTTCAGCTGTAGATTGGAATATTTCTTACACATTTCTTTCTTCATTGTCTGCAAGATTATAAATTTCATACATTTTTATTGTAATGCTTAAGCCTTGCATATCATATTTGCAGTGCATCATTCTTGCTTATTCACTGTTGCTTATTTAAAATTTTAACTAAAATTCTTTTGCCTGTTACTGTGAAAACGTTTTCACTTTGGGATAAGCAGTTTCAATTGTCAGGATTCCCAGTGCAGAGTGGAGAAGATGGGGTGAAAACACTACCTGTTCCTGCATTAATGCCAATGCTGTGAAGAACTTTTTAAAAGTGACAATGTAAATATTTCTATTTTCCAGCTGTAATTGTTAAAAACCAGATGTATTCTTGCAGGCTTTAATTGATTCCCCAAGATGTTTGCCAAAGCAACAAAGAATTTTGTGAGAGAAACTGACAGTGGAGGTGACTTGATTCCTGTCTCTCACTTGAACGCCTCGGACAAGCTGCAGCTTCTGAGCTTAGTTACAAAGAGGAAGAAATTCTGGTGCTGGCAGAAGCCCAAGTATCATTTCTTGACGGTCACCCTGAATGATGTGCTTACTGAAGACAAGCCGATAAAACCAGGTAAAGTCCTACTTGGGCAGCACTAGTATTGCAGATAATAAGAATGCAAAGCCTAATCTTTTTTGTTATTATTCTCAGTCACATTACTAGAGGGATCCTTTCAGAGGGATGCTCTGAAGTATTCTCCATCTATGGAAATGAGATGATCATTTAACTGAAACCAGTAATAACAAATGTTTGTTTAAAAAAAAAAATGTTTTGCCTGTCTAAACTGCTGAAATTAAGTGCTGAAGGTTGTCAAGCTGTACAGTCCTACTGTTTAATAACAGTTCTGTCTGCAGCCACAGAAGCTCCCCTAGAATATTTTTTGTATACTGCGCCCAAGGTCAAAAAACACTGCATAAACAGTGTTTTATTGGTGACAGCAGCCCAGGGAATGCTTACACAGGCAAGGCCAAGCAAGTTTTACCACTGCTTCCTTTCTTCTTGAACAGACTGTTAAAAATGGTTGACCCTTGTACTTCTTTCTTCATCCAGCTGCAACAGTCCTAACCAGGTTTTAGGATTAACAGTCTGGAATCCCATATTTCTGGGCATGTCACAATTCCATACAGGAAAATAGATAAGTCCTTAAATTTAGATGTTAAATCTGGCTGGCTTGGAAGATTAGCTGGTTCTGGGTCAGTTCTTCAGTTTATATATGTATAAGATTCTGAGTTGGTTTAAGCCAATTAAATGCTTCCGCTGTTTTTCAGTGAGCTTTGGGAAAACCCTATAATGAGATATGTCAAGATAATGGGAAAATAATAACCCTGTTGTACAAGCAGGTCTGTTCTGTAGTTTGTAGCTGAACTGAGTTCCAGTCATTCTTTATAAATCTTCCATAGCATCTGAACTCTGCATTTCAGTTACCTTATATTTTCCTAAAATGGCAAAATATAAAAGATAGCAGAGCGAAGGTGATGAAAATATAGAGGAAGCAGAAGTAAGAGTTACAGAGCTGTAAATTTTATTATTTACCTGCTCAATACTGTTCCTTGCCCTCACTAACTTGTCATATTTTCTGTAAGTTTTTGGTTTTCCAATCACTTCAGGACTGTTTCAGCACTTCTCTTCACAGGTAGAAATTACTTCTTTTGCTTTCCTAGTAATCGTGGAGTCTGACTTTGCAAAATATATGGGGAAGTTTGAAGATTTTGTGCAAGGAAGTGTGGAAACTTCATTCGGAAAGATCAGCCTGGGAGCTGGAGGGAAGGGCTATGTGGAAAACCAGTCCTCATTTGGAAACCTGAGGAAGCAGGAGATTGACTTGCAGCAGCTTATGAAAGACGTCAAGGACAGGTATGTTTTTAATGTTGATGTTATAATGGCCAGGAAAGATTACTGAGCTGAAAAGACATGGGTCAGCTGTGATCACTGAGCAATTGATTCTGTAGCGTTGTCACAGTTTGAGAATTATTTTTATTGTAAGCTCTCATTTTCAGGTGATAAATCATATATATATAAAAGAAAATTTCCAGATTCTGAAAGCTTGATGATCAAACTTTTCCTTTTCATTTTTAAAAACATCTCTGAAATTTCATCTTATGTATTTGCATGAATTACCACATGGAACAAGAGCCAAATTCTCCCTTTGGAGGACTCTACTGAAGTAACAATCTTGAAAAAAAATTGATTGGTTTATTTGTTACTGGGGCAAATGCTATGGAAACCGAATTCAGAGCTACTAATGTTCCTGTAAGCAAGCTTTATAAATTTGTATGTGTGTGTGTGAGCAGCTGTGCTGGAAAGTTGGATTATTTGAAGTTGAAGGAATAGCAAAGGTGAGCAAGCATGGTCCATGCGTGTTCCACTGGTTGAACAAAATATAGTTTATATTGCTCACTGTTACACACTGTAATAGCTGAGAAGAACTATAATCTTAATTTTACAAGATATGCAACACTTCTGTCCTACTCTGAAATTGGATTTCTTTAATCTTGCAATAAGACAGTCATGGACCAAAGCCTACTTGGCAACGAGCTGACAAGTCAGGGGTCTACTCTGTACTGCAGGTCCTGACTCGCAGGAGATGAGGGTGGTTTGTGACAGCATTGTACCCTCAATCTGTAGCAAGTGGTGTAATGCATTTTAATAGCCTTTGCTGATGCTCCGAAGATAAAGATGATAGGTTTTTGTTATCAGTGCAAAAGTTGTTCGAAGCAGTGTAAATTTGCTTTAGATACACTGATATTCTAGAAATAATTAATTGTCCATTTTCGCAGGAACAAATGGCTGCTGTTCTTTTTATCGTGAGCATTCACAAATCAACAAATTTATTATAATAGTGCACCTTGCTATCTTTGTGCCTTATTAAAAGCAGAAAATGATGCACTAAATGTATGTACCAGGCCTGTAAAATTAGTATGCATCCAAAATAGTGTCAGTTGAGATTTAGAATCTTATTTGTAACACAAGTAGATAGAGTCCTATAGAAAAACAAACAAGTAACTTCTGTTTAGATCAGCAAGCTTCTACTTAGTTTTCTGCAGTAAGTTACCTACTCTGTTCAAACAAATAATCCTCCCATAGTGAATCAGATTTACTTCAGCACATTTTGGGATTATAATCCTGAATGTAACTAAGTACTTAAAAATGTATTATCTTCTTTTGAGTATGGAAAATCAGTAGCTCTGCAGTGATCTGAATATAACTGTAAATGATGTTAATGTGTGTGCCACTTTATGGAAGGAGCTAGTTCTTAGTTCATAGAAAAGATGCTTATAGGTTATTAAGGCTTATGATGCAAAGTGTATAACTGATATCCAGAAAGTCAGGCTTCTGGGTTCTGGCTTCCATCAGGTCACTGAAAATGATGAGGATAGCAGAATTTTTATTATTTTTTTTCCTTCAGCATAACACTGAGGCTCACTGGAAATTGTGTTAATGCCTTACAAATGAAATTCCAGTTACTCATTCATAAATATTCTATGATTTATGGTGGATTGTGTCCAAGCTTCTAGCTTTTGTCCCATTCATAGAGTATTGTACGGCATTCAGGAATTCAGTGTTCAGGAGTGCTGGTGCCTACATCATTAGTGATTTTTCAGATGCAAAGCATTATGGCACAGAGAGGATGTTTACCCAGCAGTCCTTGTGAGATGAGTCAGCTAAGTGTTCTTGATTTCATCTAATAACATACGTTGCTTGTGCTTGTTTAATCCATTGTTTTATTTCTACATATATAGCCTAATTAAGTTGGATTTTAAAATGTTCTTGTATTAGGCTGTTGTAAATCAAAATTGCAGATAAATAGCAGAAACCCCTAAAAAATGTCAAAGCTGATATGCTTTCTAAACTAAGTCATGAGAGTCTTCGAGGTTCAGCAAGCTGGAAGTGCTGAGTGGCAGCAAATAGGGTTCCTGTCACTTTTTATGTGAACCTTCTGAAGGAAAATCCTATTGATCTCTTAGATTCCCAATGCTGCATTGGCTCTTCTTTTCTGAAAAGGGATGACAGCTGAAGGATGCAGGATGAGATCCTTTGTGATTTGCAAAAGCAATGACATTGTAAATGCAGAACATGCGTATTAACATAGTGTGCAATATAAAAATAAGGTTAAATGGTACTTGGCATATTTTATTTGTGCTTGCTAATTCACAGAGCACTGTAACATATTGATTTCAGATCAGTCCTGTACCTTTAAATTTGGTGAGATTTCTATGGATTTAGGAGTATATTCCATCTTCTATTTTAAGGCTTTCAATACTGTCTGCGGTAAGATCCTCACAGAGGAGCTGACGAAGTATGGACTGGATAGGCAGTGAGGTGGATTGAAAATTGGCTGAATGACTGGGCCTGGAAGGTATTGATCAGTGGTACAAAGTCTAGTTGGAGGCCAGTGACTAATGGTGTGCCCCAGGGGACAATTCGGGGTCCAGTCCCGTTTAACATCTTTGTTAGTCATGTGTGTGCCAGTGCTGATGACTGTACCCTCAGCAGGTTTGCTGATGACACAGAACTGGGAGGAGGGGCAGATACATCCTGAGCGTCATGCTGCCACCTGGAGGGACCTCAGCAGGCTGGTCTGGTGGGAACCTCATGCAGTGCAACTGAGGGAAGCGCAAACTTCTGCAAGTGGAAATGCCCCAGGTACCAGTACATGTTGTGGACTGGCTGGCTGGGAAGCAGCTTTGCAGAAAAGGACCTGTGGTGTCCTGGTGGACACCAAGTTGGACATGAGCCAGCAATGTGCCCTTGCTGTGAAGAAGGCCAGTGGTAGCCTGGACTGCGTGAGAAGGAGTGTTGCCGGCAGGTTGAGGGAAGTGATCCTTCCCCTCTACCCAGCGCAGGTGAGGCCACACCTGGAGTACTGTGACCAGTTCTGGGCTTCCCAGTACAAGGTAGACATGGACATACTAGAGAGAGCCCAGTGAAGGGCCACGATGATGATGATGAAGCTGCTGGAGAACCTAATGTTTGAGAAAAGGCTGAGTGAGATGAGACTGCTCAGCCTGGAGAAGAGAAGGCTCGTGTATATAAATCCTGAAGGATGGGTGCAAAGAGGATGGAGCCAGGCTCTTTTCAGTGGTGCCCAGTGACAGAACAGCAGGCAATGGACACAAACTGACACATAGTAGGCTCTGAACATCAGGAAACCTTTTAGCACTGTGAGGGGGACGGAGGACTGGCACAGGTTGCCCAGGGAGGTTTTGGAGTCTCTCTCTTGGAGACGTGATCCTGGGAAGCCTGCTCTAGGTGGCCCTGCTTGAGCAGGGAGGTTGGACCTTCCAACCTCAACCATTCTGTATTCTCCCCTGAATACAGTGGAGAGGATTATGAGGATGTTATAATCTCTGTAGTTCTCATGGATTAACAAATTCACTTGTTTGTTTTTACCATGTCACTAAATAGTGTTAGGTGATTGAAATAGAAGTTCTGAGGGGACACTGACAACAGAAAGAAAGAGGATGAAGTGACAGCAGTCAGTTCACATCGGCTGCAGAAAACTTTGCCTGTCACACTTCCATCACTTTATATGAATGATTCCTAACTCTATGATAAGCATATTAGAAAAACAGTAAGTGGTGTTAGTAGTATACTCTGGCATGACTGAAAGATATTTTTATGCTATATTGTACTTTAATATGCACTTTGATTGTTTCAGCTGTTTTCCATACTAAGATGAAAATAGGTTCTTATTCCTAGTCTGACTACAGTGGAAGTTCAGCCCATTTTGTTATTTATTCTTTAAAACTCCTCGTATATTATGTGTATGATGAGAAAACCATTCAGCTTTCTACCAAAGGTGCTACGTGGGTGATAGGAAGTCACAAAATGTTATGAGACGGGACTGAGTAAAATCAATTGTGTGTGTCTGTAATTTAAAAAAAGGATGCCAAACAGAAAATAGAGGAACTATCTGTCATTTTCAGTCTCAAAGTGTCTGTGAAGGTTATTCTGCAGGGAAAATAGTGAAATGCTATCAATAAGCAGATTGTAGCAGATACTGTGTTCTGGTATGACTGTAGGAAGTAGGTCAGAGGTTATATTTGAAACTGATTAACAAAAATATTATGCATCTGTGCTTGGTGGAAAGTGGCAGAGAGGTCTGGTGGATTTTACTCCATGACAGTCATCTAGAGGTCTTTATTAGAGAAGGAGCAAAGCTGGGTGAAGGCTCTCACTGTGCAGCAAGCAGCATTTGTGTAGAAGACATTGGACTATTGTGCATTATAAATGGAGAAGATTGAACAAGCTGAGGAATTCTGGCTGAGCAGTGCAAGAGGTTTTGAAGTCAGTCCTATGGGTGTTACAGAAGTTGCATTTGGATGAGGCTGTGAGAGTGGGCCACCCATGTCTCCGCAGCTGGGAGAGGAGGTGTGTTGAGGTGACATTGCCCAGTGCAGGACTGAAACCGTTTTTCACTCATGGGTAGTTTGGACTAGTGAAAATTTGTGCAAGCAGGCAACAGTCTTCAGTGTGAGGGTGGAGAGTACAGCAGTAAGCATTCTTCTTAGTATTTGTAGTAAATTGGCGAGTGTCTTGCTTTGAGGATTTGCGGGGTGAGTTACTGAGAAGACTAGACAGAATTTGATGGGAAAATGGTCCTAGCCCCCCTCCGTTATGCCTGATCTAGTCAGAGATGCTGTGGCTGAAGGAAAGACCCTCTGTCTCAGCTGTGGGGTTTAGAGCAGGCTCCTGCTCTCTCCTTTAACTGTTAGAGCCACATGTTTTCTGTTTTCTCTTGCCTTCCATTCGTTTCTGCATTTCTTCCTTCTTTTGTGCTTCCAGTCTGGAGTAAATTGCCTTTTTGCCTCTCTGTTCTCCACTGCTTTTCTCATACAAGAAGAAAAACGTTGAAGGAAGACTTTGCATTATAGGAGAGTGGAAGTGTTTAATCTAGTTAAATGTGGAGAGAGTGAGACCAAAACTCACAGAAATTCTTTTCTGTTCATGTTTGAGCTGTAGAGCTTCCAGCATAGTAAATCATTGACCTCAGGAAGGTTATTTAAGCAGAACAAACAATCAAACAAAGACCCACAGTCCTTATCTTTTAAATTATCTTTATTTATACAGCCTCATACTCCATATATTGATAATGGGACAGAGCAAACCATCATCTCATTATATTTTATATAGTGTTACTTTTGAGTACTTCAGCTCAGCTTCTCAAAGTGGGAAGGAGTACAGTGATGTAGTACAAGTAACACAAAGACTGGTGAGGGCTCCTGTGCAATAGATGGTGAAAGAGATGGTGAGAGTCATGGTTGTAGAACAGAAATAAAAGTTCTGGAATGTGACCTGTAAAATAAAAAATGCAGTGTAATTCGTGTGCTTGCATGCATGTATTCTCAGGGATTTAACTCAACCACTTCTTGTTATTCAGATATATATTAATGATATTCAGAGTGTTACGCTAGCAAATGAGTTCAGGTCTCGCAAAAATACACTCAGACTCAGCAGTCATTGCCCTGTAATACTTCAGGCCCTGCTCTGATTGTCAGACTTTAACCCTGTTGCATTTTGCTCTTGATGACTACCTACAATGATAATTTAGATAAGCTGGGTATTTGCTTACCTCATGTTGTCTCCTGAGTTGATGAGAAGAGCAGAATGTTTTGCCTTCCACAGGCTGCACCCCAGTAATAACTTGTGATAACTTGTCATAACCCTAGAGTCTAAGGGGTTTTCTGATCGAAAGTTCAGTGCCAGTAGTCTAGAGGAGAGCACTTAACTGTGCTGTATTTGTAGCTGTTGATAAAGGTATGTGTTGTAAAGCTCTGAATCAAGTAGTTACTTAGTGGGAAGAGGAGAGTGTTTCTGCCAGCTTTACAATTAAACACATCCTCTGAAGTCCCTTGAATTTTGGGGTTGAGGCAGTGGCCATGTCTCTGCCACACAGGGCAGCTCTGTGCAGAGGACCCTGTGTTACCTCTGAGACACAGTGCCTGTGGGACATCAGGGACCAAAGCAGGTAGCTCTGTGCCTGATGCTGTTAGTGTTGCTGCATAGCCTCCAGTGCTGGGTCAGCTCATTCAGCATGGCCTCAGAAATTTCTTCACTGTGCCTCTTTGCAAGTTTACCTCTGTCTTCTGACTCTTTGCCATTCTGCTGCTAGTTCTGCTTCTGAACCTCAGCCAGGGGCGTGAGGGGGTCTGAGCCAGTTCCACCTTGGGCAGAATACCATAGAAGTAGATGAATTAATTACTTTGGTCATTCATTTGTATAGAGTTAAATTATATTCTATATGCTTCTTATGCTATTCAGAAATAGAAAATCTGTTTAATCTGTATTTTTCTACCTTTGATTGTTTTGCTTCTTTTGCTCTAACTTTTGGGGCTATCTGGTGAGTTTGTCATCCTCCAAAGCAGGCAAAAAATACATCCTATGAAAGCAAATGACAAATTGCTTTTGTACATCTTCATTGTATTTATTTCTTTGTGGCTGCTTAGTTTGAATGTTAAAATTGCAAGTTCTTAGTACATTAATTTGTATTTTCAAGATGTTTAGCACACCTCTTCAGAATCAGAAATAAGTATTGTGAAGTATATGATAGGCTTGATGGTCTGTTATTGTGATAACTAATAGCTCTGGTCTGGCAGACACTTCTAAGAGCAGTGGTGTTTGTGATTGCTTCACATTTCTTCAATTTTTGCTTAATCCAAAGATTCATTGCATTCCAAGCATAAAGCATGGCTTTGCACCAAAAGAAAAAAAGTTATATTAATAATCTCAGGAATGTTTGGAGATGCTTTTCTAGCAGCTGCTGTGTTGCTTCAGAGGTATTTTCTTTCCCTTGTTTAAACAATCAACTTTAAGGCTTTCAGACAGTTCATTCCAACTGATTGAACTTTCATATAAGCATGTAACCCTCCAAAGATCAAAAATTGCCTCAGGATATTTTTAATTTAATAAAGAACCAAGCTGACTTCAGACTTATACAGACTGCATAAATCCAAAACTCCAGAATCTAATAAATCTAAAACTTTTTAATTAAAAGTGGAGATATCTCAATTTAAATAAAGCAGAGTCAGACATGTCATTCTGTCATATTTTTGGGGAATTGCCATTTAGCCCCATGAATAGCCATTTACAGTAAAAGGGAGGAGAAAAGACTGAGTCACTTGAGCCAGGGATAGCAATCTTTTAATCTTTCAACTGTCTTGCTAGAATTATCTGTTCATAGAAAATATGACATCTCATCTGAGGACCTCCGATGAGTATTTTGCAAAAGTATAATATAATTGACACATTTTAATAAATTAAATACAGTTAAGAAATTGCTTTAACTGTTACCAGACTGTCTGTTAACATCCCAGAAGACAAGGTAGTGAATTTTGTCATCTTTTCTTAGAAAACCTCTCATACTGTTTCTGGGAGTTCGGTTTGTTTCTTCTGCTTATTCTAAGAAGAACCTAACTTCAGAAATACCTCTAGCAGCATTTAAATGCATGCTGAATTATATTGTGGAGTAGGGATGACTCGTTAAGTTGGAGGCATGGGCTAGAGATTTGAGGTCCTTTCCACAGTTAATTTTTCTTTTGACTGTGACAGTCCTGGTCGTGAATTGTAAATTGTGAGGTTATACCCATGAATAACATGGGACTTTATAGCAGTTGTTTTTTTTGGTAATCTTCTCCAAAATCTGTGAAATCTTTTCTGTGTTTTTTTATGTCCAGCCCTTGAAAGTACTTGGTCAGTGCTGATCTGACTCAATCAGTTCAGCGTTTTGAGTGAACACGGGAACAGTTCCCATAGCAAGGTGTGAGAATTGGCATCAAGATATCACTCTCTTAGTGTGCTGTTCATCCCACCTGAAATTCTAGTGGCTCAGAATTTGGCAGCAGCGTGTCAGGGCACTCCTTTGCCTGGACATGGACCTTCAGAGGCCAAACCAGCATTCTCTGTGGTGGTCGCCTCAAGCTGTCCTAGTCTAAGATGAGTCTGGACATCAGCACTTGGGCATGAAGGAAGGAGTCCATGTCACTTCCCCTGTTGAGAAGCACCTGATGGCACAGCTGCATCAGGTGGAAGGAAGTACAGAGACAGGGTTAACAGGACTGAATGTGACAAGGAGATAAATGAGAGTGAGTTTGGCTAGGTGGCTGGAAAGTGGTAACAGTGAACTGTGAGGAGAAGGGACTTGAACAGCTGGTGTCATCTGAGGGGGGAAGATAACAGAGAGATTATGTGAAGAGGTGAGCTGGCTGGCTGTGGGACGAGGCTGAGATGATTGAGAAGGAGGGGGAAGAAATGGGACTTGATCTGATAAGGTGAATGAGAGAAAACCAAGAACTCTCACAAGGAAAAGTGGGACTTGATTACCAAGAGAGAAACTAACCAGACTGGGAGATTGCTTGCTACTTATACTTCCTAACCTTCAGTAGCTTAACTGCAACTTTGCTTTTTCTAAGCAGAGCTTTGTGATGTGTGGATAATACTGTTACATTACATGCTTATTATGTATTGTGCTGTTATAGGTATTTTTATTGTGTGTGTGCCTACATAATGTATGCACTAGTGGGCCAGTCTGCAGGGAGTTCATCGTATTGACCATGAGCACAGGTTTTTTGTTTGTATTTCCTGGTGACTTTTTTGGTTAAAATAATTCTTTTGAGTAAAGGCTTCAGGATGTGGTCCATTGACTTACTGACACCGTTTGTGCTAACGTGAGACCCCGAAGAGACTGGTTAGCTGGCATTCCCTGCCATGGCCATGTTAATGTCAGTGTGAGTTCAGGGTAGCAGAGGATTCAGTCTAGTGTCCACAAGCCTAGCTGGTTGTTTCATATTATGCTGGAAGATTAAAGTTGTCTTTAGTTCTCCCTTGCTTTTTTTTCTTAGAAAGTAGTCAGAAAACTGCCACTGGTGCTCAGACTAAGGAATCAAGAATTCAGTACATGTGTTGGGACTTACTGTGGAATACAGATATTTACTGCTACCAGATAACAGAAGAGAACATAATAATTTTGAGGAGACTGCTCATATAGAAACCATTGTTGTTTTTACAATAAAAGCTTCTTCAAGCAATTAAGAAAATGTTTTCTCTCAGTTCTATTATTTATGTCGTTAATGGTGTTTTTTCTTTTTCAGAACTATAAATGTAAACAGTAATTTACTACAACAAGTAATAGAAAGAAAACGTGAAGTGCTGTGCATCTTGAGAGAAAAGATAATAACAACTCAGAAGTGTACAATATCTGAACATATCCAGACAGAGGAAAAAATCAGCGGTGTGATGGGATGCAGTACAAAGATAGTAAAGGTAAAATTTGTTCAAAACCTGCAAGGAATAGAAAATTTGCAGATTATCTGAGAAGAAATTATGATTTCTCCCAACAGATTTCAGAGTATTTTTCATGCTTCCTTAACATGTTGAACTCTCTTTCTTAATGTGTTGAACTCATTGCACTGCTTAGTTGTGCAGCTTCAGAAAGGTAAAATGCCTCACTGGCAAAAGATGCCTCTTTTAGTGTAAGCCTCGAATGTGAATTCCATCAATACTGTGAAATTTTGATTCAGTTTCTATGTAGATTCCTGCCTACAGCAGAACATAAACATAACAATTCAGTGTAAGTTGAAGAGTAAAAAGCATTGCTGAAACAAATTTATTTGAAAAGCCAAGTAATCATTCATCAAAAATGTTTGCAGTGTGTACTGATTTTTATTGAGAAGCCGTTTGTTTTTGATTGTGGGAGTAGAGATTAACTGCATTATGAGGATATCTGAAAAATTGCTTATGAATTGAGAATGCATTACCAAAGTCAAAACATATGCTCAGTCATTGTAAGTTGTTTTTTTTAAAGCTGCAGATGAATCACTTCTGTGTACAGGGTGTCTCCAGAGCAGAAATACGGAAGTTGAAGTTCAACAGCCCTCTGTATAAGTGCCACCTTCCTGGTACCAGTCTCCAGCTGGGCAAAAGGGGTGTCAGGATAGGAGAGGACAGGATGCAGAAGTGGGTGCCCGTTTCCTAGTGCCACAGTGTTTTGAGTGTGGCAAAAGCTGCACCTGAAGCTCAACTTTGTGCCAGGACAGGGTAGCTAAGAGTTGAGAGCTGCTCTTGGCATTGTGCTTCTAGCTTGCTGCTCACCTAGTTCTTTTCATAGATGTCAAATGTAACATGTGCATTAGTTAGACATCATGGAGGATAAAGCACATTCTGTGTATTTTTTCCCTTTAATTCTGTGTTTAAGCTACACAATAGCTGATTCAGATAAACAGTGAATAAATCTGTCCCCTAGGTTTCAGTGAGTGAAAATGGAAGTATGATGAAGGATGCTAGTGTGATTCTTGAAATTCCTCCTGCAACCACTATTGCCTATGGTGTAATTGAACTGTTCATAAAACACAGTGGCCAGTTTGGTAAGTACAATTTTTGTTTTCTGTGACATGCAGGACAACTGTGGACAGAGCTATCTGCTGGGCAGTGATTTTGGTATTTGCCTGCATATGAAGGTGATGATGTTGTGCGATCTCCATTACCTCGATAGTTATTTATGCTGTGAAATGCTGCTCTTCTGATTTAGTAATGCATTTTCAATTGTTCGACTACATCATAAACTCAAAATAACTTAGGTTTCAGGGGATCACAGGAGGTCATCTAGCTCAAGCCCTAGTTCAGGGCAGGACCAACTTTTGAAGTTTGGTGTAAGTTCAGAATTAGATCGGATTGCTCATATCCTTGTCAATTCAAGTTTTGATTATCTCCAGAAATGGAGATTCCATCACCCCTCTAGGCAGCCTGTTCTCATGTTTGACCACCATCATGGTGGACTTTTTTCTTCCTTAATATCTAATTAGAATTCCCCTTTCTTTGTGTTTCCTGTCTTTTGTCCTATCATCGTACAGAAGAGTCTGGCTCTTTCATCTCTTCATGCTTCCATCGGCTAGTTGTGGACAGCAATAAGGTTGTCCCTTAGCAATATTTTCTCAGGGCTGGACAAACCTAGTCTCTCAGCCTCTTCTCATCCATAATGTTCTCTAGCCCCCAGTGATCTTGGTGGCTGTGTGCTAGATTGCTCCAGAATGTGAATGTCTGTCTTATACTGGGGAGTCCAAAACTGGACACAACACTGAATGCAGTCTCTAAAATTGAAAAGTCACTTTCATCGATCAGTTAGCTACACTTTTGTCAGTACAGCCCAGGATGCAGCAAACTTCACTAGCTGCAAAGGCACACTGCTGATCCTCTCAAATTTGTTGTCCAGGTCTTTTTCTGCAATTTTGCTTCTAGCTAGCTGGCCCTTGGCCTGTGCTGTTCCCTTCACCTATTGACAGGGAGAATGAACTGAATATAAATAGACGCTCAACCAGCAATGTTTAGACAACAGTCATGCTAAGAAGAGAATTATTCATTAACTCTAGGACTGGAATTTAAACTTTTCTGTCTGTTTTGCACTTTCACATACAGATTGTTCTCAGAACGTTGCAGAAATGTCTTTGTCATGTTTTCTGGTCATGCTTTACTTATTTCCGGTTGAATACTTTCAGGTGTCAAGTTAAAATAAATGTTGAAATGGGCTTTGGGGGGGGTAGTAACTCTGCTCTATAGAATCACCTGTGTTTTTCTTTATTGTTTATCCTCAGTTAAACTTCCTGACCTAAAGGAGGTTTCAGGGGATGTTATGCAAGAAGGAAAGAAATCATGGAATAATCTAGGTTGGAAAGGACCTTGAAGATCATCTAGCCCAACCGTTAACCTAACACTGACAGTTCCCAACTACACCGTATCCCTCAGCACTATGTTGACTGGACTCTTAAACACCCCCAGGGATGGGGACTCCACCACCTCCCTGAGCAGCCCATTCCAACGCCTAACAACCCCTTCTGGAAAGAAATGCTTCCTAATATCTAGTCTAAGCCTTCCCTGGAGCAATTCCCTCTTGTCCTATCTCTTGTTACTTGGTTGAAGAGACTCATCCGCAGCTCTCTGCACCCTCCTTTCAGGTAGCTGTAGAGGGCGATGAGGTCTCCCCTTATCCTCCTCCTTTCCAGGCTAAACACCCCCAGTTCCCTCAGCCGCTCCTCATACGACCTGTGCTCCAGACCCTGCACCAGCTCCGTTGCCCTTCTCTGGACACGCTCGAGTCATTCAATGTCCTTTTTGTAGTGAGGGGCCCAAAACTGAACACAGGAATCGAGGGGCGGCCTCACCAGCGCCGAGTACAGGGGTCAGATCCCTTCCCTGTCCCTGCTGGCCACGCTATTGCTGACACAAGCCAGGATGCCATTGGCCTTCTCGGCCACCTGGGCACACTGCTGGCTCCTGTTCAGCCAGCTAAATCATATGGATTGTGTAGAGCCGGAAGTTGGAAAGGACTTATGTGGAGAGAAACAGGAGATGCATCGAAGTGCAGTTGAGATTTGCATCCAGGATGCACTTTATTTGGATTAGAAATGCAGAAGCTACTCTCTATCATTCTCCTTCAATTGACTTCCGATCTTAAGGAAGTCTGTAGGTTCAGGAATATAAGTGAATATCATGTAACCTGTAAAAACCTTTCTGAAGTGTGGTATTGCTCTGATGCAGAGATACACCAGAGGGCATTGACTTCACGGGCATAACAGAACTGTAATTCAGAGTAATCAGGTGCAATTAAGGCTATCTGACTACATGGGTGTACAGCTGATAGTCTATTTACGTGATTTCTAGATGAAAATTCTTATGTCCTGCTAGCTGATAATTCATGGGTCTTGTTAATGATCTATATTTCTCTCTGTTCTTTTTCCAATTTCTTTTTTCATATTTAATGTTATTATAAAGCACAGCTTGTTTCATGTTTTATCTCAAACAACCTTACTGCTTTTTTTCAGTTTTTGCTATCTTTCCTTGCCTGAACATCATTGAGAAGTGGAGGAACTAACAACAAAATTAGGGATTTGCCAGCAAGAATAAGTCTGGTAGAGCCTACCCTCGGACTTAATGTCTGAACAGTGATCAGTGTCTGTTTATGGAAATAAAAGTAGCCTTTGAAGTTAAATCCAGAGACTAATGTGGTCTTTTCACATGAGACTGAAAGAGACCAGTAGCAGGTGTAGCATAATGGGGTTCTCTTTACAGATAATTATGGAAGAAGGTGCGTGTAAGATTCTGTGGTTTTGTTTCTTTTCCTTTGCCACTGATAGTGCTTGAGTTAGACTGTAATGAAAAATGGTATGTAAACGTTCTTAAAAATGTTGTGGCTAATATAACTGGACATTCTTGGACACTTTCATAAATTAAAAAAAAAAAATAGAAAAAAAGGTCTAATCCTTTTCTCCTTCCTTTATCATAATGTTTTCCTGTAATCATTCTGTTTGATTGCTACGGGCTAATTTTCCACTACCCTGTTAAATGCTTTGCAGTTTTGTGTCTCTGAAGTTTCACTGAAAGTCCCCTTGTTCTTGCTTTATAAAACAAGAAGTATAGTAGCACCTGGCTGATTTGCTTTGTTCTGTTCATTGCTACATATATGTGCTATATATATGCTTTCTCTTAAATGTCTGTGAAGTCCTAAGCTTTTCAGCTTCTCCCTGCAAAGGAGTCTCTTTGCCTTTGATTGATTTCGTTTATCATCTCTGGTTTTCTTCCATCTTTGTTAATGTTTCTGAATAACTAACAAGATCTAACTGCACTAGTGGAGGTTTGTCGTTGATGGATGTAATATAATTCAATAGAGAAGATATCACAGTGTTACATATATTCGTTCATTCACTTATTTTCCCTTTTTTTTTTTAAAAAAAAAGTCAAAATTAATGAGATACAAAATTAATTAACAGTCCTATTAATACAAAAATTTCAGAGTCCTATATTTTTCTCTAAATTGAGTCCTGTTACGAGATTTAACAGTACGGTCTGTGTCTCTTAACTTTTCACATGATGCTGTGTATTGATTTCCCTTATTAGCAGGATTCTGCCTTGGAAAGCCAGGTAGTTTATTTGCACTATTTTCCTCCTTCAGGGTTCGTGTGGAAGCCTTGTTATTATCAGTGAAAGTAATGTGAGCATGTTGACCTTATGGTGCCTTAGCTGCTGTCCGGAGTCTTGTTCCTTTGGGAAGTTCTTTAATTTGTGTTAATAGCTTTCTGCTCCTCTGTAGCTCACTCTTCTCTGTGAAGGGTTATGCAAGCATAAAGGTCTGTCATCTTTCTTTCTCTGTGGCAGAGATTTCTTTGTCTGCTCTCTCTTTGAAAAAGCCTTTGCTGATGAAGTGCTCTCCTTGCTTTCTCATCTGCTTTGAATGCCCTTAATTTGGTGAGACAGACTCTTACAAATGCAGGAAGGTTATATTTAGGTTTTGTGCCTGGTACATCTGAGCACTGTGCTTGATTAGTTACTTCCCCCCCCCCCAGTCAGGTATTACTTTAAAATTGAGCTCCTCTTGCTAGCCTGCCTGTGTTCTCTTCAGGCCTGCTGCAGAGTGCCAGGGGTTCAGTTTCAAATCTTGCATTTGAGCCAATAAAAGATGATTAAAATAATACATAGGGCTTTGATTATATTCTGCACCTTTGGGACATGATGCTGGGCACAGGAGGACAGAACTTGATACTCCAGATTTCTCAGCATAACTCTGACAAAAGCTCCCTGTATACCTTCCAGGAGTCCCTTCGCTTCAGCAAGTTGGGGGTCGTCTGCAATCCTGTTCGGGTGAGGTAGGCCAGTGCTTCTCATGAAGATGAAGCAGAAAGGGTAGTCCAGTATGTTACTGTCTGCACAGACTTATTGCAGAGAGGTGGTATCTACTGCAGAGTGATCCTGTTAGAGACTTTGAAAAGCCTCCTATTTTCCATTCATCTGGAGAACTTGAGGATGGCCCTGTGTCTTGGCTGAGAAGGAGTAGTCTATCAGTGCCATGACCAGAAGCAGCTCTGTGAGGGACTCTTCTTACGAATCTCAGAAAGTGCCTTCATGTGTCTCCATCATGAGTGGGTTCTGTAGCCTGCATTACAGCACATCTCTTAATTGGTAGAAAATGTGAAGAATTCATGCTGACGTCTCTTGTGTGCAGCACTCAGGTTTACAGTGAGTCTTCATTTTATTTGCTGTCTACGTTAATTCACACAAGCTGGTGCCACACGTCGTAGCTGCACCACAGAACCACAATTTGTGCTTGCTGTACCAACTGTCAGGGCTGCAGAAATGCTCAATAATTCACATGCATAGCAACCACTGGCATTCTTCCCATCTAGAAGAGGAGAGACACAGAGAAATCACATGTGAGAACACTAAACCATGTAAGCTAGCATCTCATTCGGTAATTGCTTGTCTATTTTATTAATATTTTTTTAAAATTGAATTTCTCATTGCAGAATTCTGTCTGCTGGATGAACAGCAAGGAGGTTTTGAAAAAGAAAGCACAGAAGGCCCACCTTATCCCTACTCAGCACTATTCAGAGATACTTTGTTTCTCTATCAGCCAGATGCTGTTGATAATGAGATGTACTCCGGGGCTAAAAACCTCATTCCCAGTGATGCTTCTTTAAGTGTACTGAAACAAGGTATTACCAGAAATGCTTTATACAATTACACTACAGTGAGTTAAGCAACATGATAGGAGGAAATAATCTGGTAGAATAGTACATTAGAAATTATGTTAGTTCATTTTAATAGCCCTTATCAGGAACTCTTAGGGGAATGCGCTGAAAGAATAGAAAAATTTACTTCAGCAATAGGTATATGCAGGGACCTGTTCCCTAGGAACATCCTGAATCTCTTTGTCATAGATATGACCTTAGAAAATCAGGTTTTTATGCCAGTTCTGTTACATTCCAGATAAGCACCATAAGATTTGTGATGATTTATGCTTTCACTGAGAAAGGGTCACTGAAAATACTTTTTCATGATTTGGAAAATACTCTCAGTAAAGCTTCTCTGTTAAAGTTTATTTTAAGTCGAAAAATTAGACACATCTCACCCACCTTCAGTTAGCCTCATTACTTTCTGAGAAGCGTTACAGAAATCTTTGGTATCAACTAAGGCTGAAGAAAATAAAATGTGATTTAAATGGAAGTTTGCAAATTGGTATAATGAACCAGGCACAACTTACTGTAGGGATGTGGAAGGAAGGGGCAGGATTGTCACCAGTGGAATAAAAAAGGGGAAAACAAATCAAGGCCTCAGAACATGCTTTACTTTTCACCAGTTTGTGGTAGAGTTCTTAACAGCTTGTTCTAACACAAATGTCACTTTTGTTACCTCTAAATTTCTCCCTTCGTTCATGGCTATTCAATAGACTAACTGTGACCAAAATAGGTATTTGTTATCCTGAAATAAAGTCTCTCATTCTTCAGTGTAGACTTATTTGAAAAGAATAACCATGTCTCCACATGTATATAAAAACCACTTTATTTGTGAAAGAATGGTATCCCACTGTTTTGTGTTTTGTTTTAGCTTGACATACCTTTGTGCCTTTCCTGCTTAAAAGGCTTGGAGGCTTCTTCTTTTATTTAATTAGGCTGAATTGTCTTTTGGAAAAAAAATAAGAAAATTGTTTCTACTAAAGCAATTTAAAGTAGGTTTCCTCTTCTGTTATTTATATAGACAGGCATATGATTGCATCAGGTACAAAACATACCTGCCTGTGGCTGGGCTTTTTTTTTTTTTTTTTTTTTCAATTTTTTTCAAGAAACAATTTTTAGATATAAAAGGCATGTTTAAAGAGAGCTTGTTTCTTGACCGGAGTGGCATGAAGGGAAGTTTCTCTTAAACAAGGTTAAGAACGCTTGCATATTTTTGGACTGTGGAAAATCATGTTCCAACCTTCCGGTTGTCATTATTGACTTGAAAACTTATTTTCTTCTAGCAAAGTGGTAATCGATGTCATAAAACACTTTGGTTTTGTGTCGTATTGTGGAGAGAAAGAAGTGCAGTGAACTCTCTTGAACTTCTGTTGTATGTATTGTAATGGATTCAGTATTTCAACCAAGAAGAGATTTTTGTAATAAGTCTTTTTAGGTCAGGAGTGAAGGGTTGTAATACTTTGATACACCTGATGAAATATGAGTACAATAACAATTTAGCATCACAGTAGGAACTTTTAATTCTGTGTGTGGATTTATACCATTGACTCTGTCATTCCTATTAGAAGTAAGGTTATGAGCAGAACTCTCATTCTGCCTTATAAATGAACATTGTCTGGAGATGAATTTTCAAGTGAGAAACTTAATATATGGTTAGTTCAGTTAGTATTAAAATACTGACTTCTAAAGTATTAAAAATACTGAACACCTTATATTGATCCTTGGTAGCTGTTCTTCTGTCTTAGAATTTTTATTGATGCTTCATTGGCTCATTAGGGAAATATAATCAAATGTGCCTTCAGCCTTGCATTATAACTTGTGCTGATGGAAATTGGGATGTCAAGATAAATGAGCTTATGAAACACATAACAAAGATGTTAACTGTTTTTATTGGCATTTGTGTAGAAATACTTAGTTTTACTTTTTACTGCTTTCTTGGGAAAGATCTGTCACGGTTGAAGACTCAGTTCCAGCCCTTTGTGAAGTTGCCAGAATACAAGCAAAGAGCTTTATATAAAACCCTTTATGAACTCTTGCTCCGTGAAGAAATGGTAACTGCCCTGGAGGACGTGGTAAGATGAAGAAACTTTTGCTTGGTTCCTAAAAGTAATTTCAGGATAGAGCTAGCATGCTCTTTTGCTTTTCTCTTTTCGAGAAGTTTCACTTATTTTTTTTGCTTCCAGTTAGCTGATATCTGCACAGGAGACAAGCCAGATCTGAAAGAGTTAAAACCTGTACAACAACAAGACATCCTTGACTTCTTGCAGCTCTTAGGATGCAGTTTACAGAGTGAGTTGTTGCAGAAATATCAGCCTCAGGATGAAAAACTCCTCTCAGCTGCTCACCTCCTCATCAGTGCTATCGCTGGTATGTTGTGAATGAAGAGCCCTTTTTTTAATTTTCCTTTTAGAAGCTACCTCTGTGTTAAAGCATTTATGGCTCTTTTTGAGCAGTTGGTGAGCTGAGTGAACATAATTTGTTCTGTTCCTTTTTATGGGTTTCGTATACCATGCTTAGCATTCCTGGCTGTGAATTAAATTCAGCCCTCAATCACTGACAGATTTGGCTTGTAAAATACACATTCCCCCGAGACTGCTCAACTCTGCTTTCTGCTGAGTGTGGGCATTTACAGTTTAGTAGCTAATTTCTGTTCTTACTAGATACCAGAGTTCTTCCCCCCTGACTGCTGAGAATTACAAATTAGGTGTTGCCTTCAGTGTGACAGTATTTATTGTTGAGGTGCAAACTATATTTAGCAAAAATGAATTTAACATAGAGACACTGTGATTAGAGGGTTGTTCTGCAGCTGCTGAAAAAGGCGATTAAACATAAATGTCAATAAAATGCCATGCTCACAATCTAGTTGGCACCACAGTGTTAATTAAAAGCTACCTGCAAAGTCCAAGACAGTGTCCTTCCAGGCTTTTTCTCCTCTCTTATGTATATAAAGAATTTACTGACATTAAGATAACGAAGTCCAGTGTGGTATTAGTTAGATATGGTGCTGTGCAGCAGAATGTTGCTGTGCATCCATGTACGCATAGCACCCAGGTAGAAAAGCTTAACTCATTTGCAGAGGCAGAAAAGAAATAGAAAACAGAAAACCGCTGATGTGGTAACACTTGTCAGATGCTATTAGCAGCAGAACGTGGGTAATTGAGTGTTGCATTATCACCTGGCTTTGGACGTAATGCCTGCTGCTAGTGGCCAGGCATAAATGTAGCTGGATCGAGAATCAGAAGCTGATCTGTGCCTGTTGCTCCTGTGAGGAACTACGCCCTAGTTACAGAATTGAAGGGCACCACAGGGATCATTTAGTTCATCTCCCTGCCCCAAGGCACTCAGCTATGTCATTCCTCTCAAATTGTGTTTTTGCAGAAGACAGCATCTCTCATAGATTTTTGAGAGCAGAAGTTCTTGTTTTATTCAAGGCCTAAGTCGTTCATCCAGCCTGCAGACTCGGAGTGAACACTGGGGAGATACTTGGGAAGGAGAAAAGAATGATGGGGAGGAAATCCCCTTTCCTGTGAGCTGCTTTTTTTCAAGGTCGGAGACAGTCTGTGTGGGGCTTGTATCTACTGCCTATCCCATTTTATTCTGCACTCTGGGAAGCAGTCAGGAAAGGGCTGGATCAGCCATTTCCAAATGTCCAGCAGAGCACTTATGACAGCTGTTGTCAGGACTGAATTGTTTTGGTCTCCAGTGTCCATTCCATGAGGTGCTGTACCTGCAGATGGGCTTCAGAAATGCAGCTCATCTGTCTTTGCTCAGCAGGAGAACCCCGTAGCAGAGCTCACTGTTAAGTCCCCTTTCCAGCAGCCAGCCTTGTGCAGTGCTTCCTGGAAACAATTTTTTCCTTTTAACATTTCCTTCACAGAGCTGCCTGATTACACTCTTGTCCTGCTGCGTGCCTGCTGTGATCTTCAGGTTGTTGTGGCACTGTGTTGTTTGGTGAGTAATCAAAATGTGGCTGTGTAGCATGTGAGCCCCAGCAGCACTAATGGCTGTGTTCTCTGCCTTACTGTGTTTCTCACCCAGTAATAAAGATGTCAAGCTCTAGCGCAAATTTCAGCTTGTAGGCATTGCTTAGGCAAGGTCAGAGTCTGACAGCGGCAAACAATGCAGGTAATTTACTGCAGGTGGATCCCTAATGTCTAAAACATTTCTGTATTTGGGAGATTTCATGGACTATGAGCAAAAGAGATTCTAACTTAAACTCAAATTTTAATTTACTAGTAGTCTCACTAGCCTGTTTTAAAGTCTCAGTAACCACCTGCCCTTGGGAAACAGAAATTTCACTTTGACAGCAGCAGTGCTTGGGCCTTGGCAAATTCTGAAGTTCCAAAACTCTTGAGGCCATTCATTGAGACTGCTGAAGGAATGGGGCAGAGCTTTTTTTAAGCTTTTTAAGCTCACTGACAAAAATAATAGTAACAACTTTTAAATGTATTAGAGGCAAGGGGGGTGCTACTATTTGCTCAGAGTAAAAGTGAGAGTTAAGTGTGATCTGCAGCGAGAGAAGTTGGACTGGGGAAAGGACATGGTAGGAGAGATGTTTCTCCTTAAAGGGTGCCAGAGAGCTTTGGTTCTGGATGAGTCCATTGTACTTGTGAAGGCCAAGAGCAAAGGGAATCTTGCCCTTTTGCCACTGCCTTGTAAGCTTGCCGGTGGTTTTGTAAGAAGGAGCTGAGCTGTGCAAGGGCAGGAACAGCACTTCTTGGAAAACCTTTTTAATGTCTCTGTCTTCTGCTCTCTCTCATGAATACAGCCCAACATCGCTTCGGCTGATGGCAGTGTGGCGCTGAGCAGTCCTTCGGTGGCTGCTCTCACGGACAGACGAAGATTTGATGTCGTGCAAAGGCTGTTTGCTTCATCAGGCATTAATTTGGAAATGACAGAGTCTTCTGTAAAAGCTCTAACTATGAAAGATCCTACATTCTTCCCACTTGTCCTTTATGTTGCACTGTATGGATTTTATGCTTTGGGTGGGAATGCACAAGAGCTTTGCTGAGTACCCACTTACTGCTGTAGCCTCTTCTTTCTTCTGTAGCTCTGCAGTGTAGCGTTGGTGTGTCTGTGCTAGCAGTGGCGCCGCTCAGTTGAGCACTCAGGGCAGCCCAGCCCGGGGTTGTGGAGGTCAGGGTGGGCTCGGCGTGCCTGGGGTGAGCACTCGGCGCTGCCGTTGGTGCGCTGCTGCTCTGCAGCTTCCCTAAGGTAGCTATGGATGTCTGCAGTGGAAAATACATAAATAAGGGATGAAGGGGAGGAATTAAAAAGAAGCCTGGAACAGAAATTGAACATAGCTATTCTGGTAGTTGTCAGATCTGCAGGGCAGTAGAAGCCTGATTGCTTGCATTAATATGCGTGGGAGAAAACTGCGAAGTACAAAGTGCTTTTTGTAAGCAAGCGAACAAGCAGGCTGTGGAACGCCGGGGCTCTGCAACGCAGTAAATGTTTTGCTCATTTGAGACTTGATGTGCAGAATGCCTGCGCTCTGGAGCAAGTTGAATGGAGGGCTCTCAAAGATGTACTTGATTAGGTTTTCATTTATTAAGTGTAGTTTGGCTTTACGGATGTGAACTGCATGCTGCAGGAAATAAAAAACCTCTTATTGAAAAACTAAGACCACCATAAGGGTTTATGCCTCTGTACAGAATTTCTGTTTTCTACTGAGTTTTTATTCACCTTGGCAAGTTCCAGCTATTTTGCATTCTGAATTTTCTCTTTGAGGTACAGTGATGCCTCTTGGTGCGTGCACATGAAATGTCCCTGCTGCACTCCACAAAAATGATCATTTTACCCATATGACATTTCAAGTGCAGATGTTTTACTTGTTGACTAACAGCAAAGTGTTAGTGAAGCACTTCATGCTTTGAACTATTTTGCCTTTTTTTCCATTATAATTTTTGTAATCATGTGGATGGAACAGAAATGCAGCGAAGATCACTGTAAATATGGGCTTGGGCAGATGATGTTCCAGTTAAGCAGAATATGGGTGTTTTCAGACAAGGCTGGGAGATGGCTGACAGACAAACAAGCAGGCACCTGTGTGTGTGTCTGTGCAGGGAGTGATCAGTACCAGGCCCTGCAGCTTAACTAGTGGGTAGGAGTCCTGGCACCAGTTTTCTGCTCTATTCCCACATGGTCTGGGGCAGATGAATGTCAGAGAGCTCTTTTAAAACTCCTGTCAGTTAAGCTTTCCCTGAGGAAGTGAACTTTGCAGAGAAGTGCCGTGGTACCTTTCCGTGCCCTGAGAGGACAGGGTAGCCTTGGCACGCCAAGCCGTTGGCGTCTCATCTGTCAAATGAAGCTAATGGTGTTGCCTGAGCGTTGCCCTGGTTTGTGTGGGAACATCCTTTTGGAGGATGGAAGCATGTTAATCTGCTTCTGGGAGTGATGTGTGTTTGTAAATGGGAAAGTTGTCTTTTGCCAATCACTACTCAAAAGTTATCTCTGTAACTAATTTATCCAAACCTTCTATTAAATGTTATGTCGAAACAACAGAACAACTTCTAACCTCATGCATGTAACTTCTATTGTTGTTCTTTTGGGGATTGCAGCCATGCCCTTGGCCCTGGAAGGCGGGGTGCACACAGACGGCAGGTGGCTGTGGGCAGCCCTGCAGCACTGCTCTCCCTCTGCTCTGCTCTTCCTTGCAGAGTTTTGGCGTAGCCCTGGTGTGCGCTGTGTTGTGTAACAGCTTTCAGGGTGTGCGTGCTGCATCATGTATGTAGGAGAGGGGATTTGTTTAAAGAGGGGCAAAGCCAAACCCAAATGCTAGGTGTTCTCTATAAACATCATTAAAGAAAGGAAAAGGTTTTGTTTGTTTCCTGCTGTTTTGCTTTCAGATGTAGATTAGTCTTCTGCTTCAGCTAAATCCACTGGACAGGTTCAAGCTGAGGAGTGTAAGGGCTGCTGACAAAGCCAAGGTGAGGGCAGCTGCGGGGCTGGCAGCGTTTATGGTACTGGGGAGCCGTGGCGGCCCCGCAACGCAACCGGTGGTAACTAGAGCCGGGGCCGGAGGCGCTGTGTGCTTGTCAGACAGATGGGAGCGCCAGGAAACGTCTGGTGAGGCACCAGCACTGCGGGCTGTGTTTGTGTGCGATACCCCCCACCCTGTGCAGGCCTAGCACCTATGCCCTTCGCCTGGGAAGGGGGCAGACGCCCAGAAAGGAGGGGTCGGGGGAGCAGCAGAGCCAGGAGTCGGGGCAGTCTCAGACTTGCACATTGTGAGAGACACTTGGGCAAACAGTGGCGAGCCCCAGGCCCCCCAGAGTCCTGCTGCTTCCTGCTGCTGGGTGTCTCGGCTCCTTGCCTCACCTGCTGCCATACTTCTAGGACTGATCGTGGTTGTCTGCAAAAGTCATTGGTTGCCCTTCAGTCTTGGCTTTGCCCTTTTACATGCTCTTCGTGGAGGGATTTCCCAGCTTCCCCTCCTTTGGCAGCACTTGTGTGACCACAGAAACACCTCCAGCCCCACAGGCACCCCACGGTTCTGGAGCTGAGTGAGCAGCACCACTGGGGGGGCGGGGGAAAAAGAAACACTAAGGCAGGTTATATGTACGTTCATCATGTTCTCTGCAGTTTCTTCTTCCACGCTCTTGAAAGCAGGATCCTTCATCACATTAATACTAAAAATAGCTCAGAGGGGGGATATGAAGATCCAAGGGAACAGCAGAAGCAGTGTGTGTCTCTCTCTCTCTAAGCAACTCTTGTCAACCCTTCCCTAAGCTGAATGAGAACAGCCTCCACAGGGACCCAGCCTGAGCTGCACCGATCCAAATTAATTCAGAATCCCCTTTAGAAGAGCTGGATGTGCAACCTACTACATCTTAGATGAAACATGATTTCTTATGACAGGCTGGCCACATACAGAAAATGCTTTTTCAAGGTTAAATGGGGCCTTCCCTAGAAAGCGGAGGTGGTAAAAGGGCTGTAGGGTCCTTCAGAGAACCTGAAAGGTTTGATTTCACACCCTGACTTCCCAAAATACTGCTTCCCTTTGCTACCCTGCTGCCTTCCGCAGGAGAAAGAGGAAAGAACCCACACCTTTGCAACAGCATGGGGCCAGGACCAGGGAAGATGAGGGCAGCAGCCTCTTTTCATGCATGTGAGATCTCCAGGGGCCAGCAGGCTTGGCCTTGCTCCCCTTAGCCAGTACTGGCCTCGTACAAGCGGCCATCCCGAGGCCAGGATGCACCAGCTGGTTACAGTGCGGGCCCAGGAGGTCTGCCCCAATGCTGCAGTGCTCCAAAAGTAAGGAGCCCAAATGCAGCAACACTGACGTTTAGAGGGTGGCTGAGGAGGCCCTGAGAGCTCTATATGTCGAAGAGGGTTTGGCACATTCAGGAACACCGAGCTCACCAAGACCAAGCGCAGAGTTGCTTTTCTGAACATTGAGCACTACGTGAGCCCCACCCACACTGCGCGAGCGCTGCGATTCCTAGAAAGAACCCAAAGCAGCACAAGAGTGCGAAGCCCAGTCCGTGCAGATGGGCTGCTCAGTGTTGTCTCTCGTAGCAGCCACGTTAGTGCGCTGGAGGAAAGGGGGTGTAACCGTGGAGCTGGCTTTCAGCAGTAAAGGATGAGGTAGAAGTAAAAGGCAGATGTGCACAGATTGCTTCCTGAGAGCTTCATTGGCTAAAACTCAAAGTGTGACAAACCCAGAAAAAACCTTAATTACATTTTTTCAATATTAAATCTTTATTATATACAAAAATATTTTGTTGGGAATTAAGAGAATTTCACAATTTATACATTGACATTTTTATGTTTGGCTGTGATTACTGTGAAAATATTAGCTGTGAAAAAGATGGGGGAGGTTAGAAAACAAGTCACAATTTAAAAATGTCCTATGTATTAGCTGACTTTATGAAGTCAGAATGCTAACAAGTCCCATCTCCTAGGCCTGCTCTACAGTATTGTATTCAAACAACAATTAGGTACTAAATCATCTTCAGGTTTTACATTAGAAAGTTAAGCTAATAGTTAAGATTTTTTTTTTTTTTAGGATGTTTTCAGCTAAATAAAGTTTTTTTTTTTACAGGAGAGCAGTTTTTTAAAAGTGTTACAAATGTCAAATCCAGTTTAGTTTAATATGCTGTAGAAGAAAAAACAACAAACAAAACAACAAAAAAAATCACAAGAGCTTCCAACAGGCAAAAACAATTGTGAGAAGAAGCAAGGTAAGGAAATGCACAGTGACTGACTTCTAAGACATATTTAAACCCAAACACTTAACTAAGATTTTACAGTTCTTAGCCCAGCTTGGGGTGGGAGAGCAGCAAACTTTTTTAAAACTTAAGAAGTGATCCCCCTTCTTACACAGGCAACAGATGATGAGGGAGGGGGGAGGGGAAGGAATGCTCAACATGCATTTTCAAAGGAGAAAAAATAAATTTCAACAGTTATCTTCACACAGAATTGTGTACAAGCCCTAAACAAACAAAAATCAGTCAATTTTTTTTTTTTTTTCAGCCAACAGTTTTGCTGCTACCCCCAGATCTGTACAAAGCAGTGCCATTCATTTTCTTCCACACAATGTGTCATGTAAGAGACCGAAGTAACAGAGAAGCTACTTGGGTGTTTGGAAGAGGTTTTACTGTATATCCAGGTGAATGTTGGCTACTTCGGGAGTGATCCTTGGATCAGCTGTGAGGACAGCCCAACAGGCATGGACCAGCGTTAGTGTGGAGCCAGTGACATTAAAAGGAAAAGGTTAAATGTGAGAAAACGCTTCCAGAGCTACTATTAACTATGTTAGCCTGTCAGGTTGGTCAGTCAGTATTCCACATCCAGCCCCTGCCTCAGCAGCAAAAGGAACTCCATACCCGATTAGCAGGAGAAAGGGTTACAAATACTGAGAAAAAAAGATCATTTATTTCAAGTGTAATTTATTCTATAAAGTATAAATATTGCAGAGACCTTGCTGAACAAAATAACTGTGTTTAGAGGTGAAACTGCTTAACAGCCTTCACCAAGCTGGAGTTTTTAAGCCTGCACAGGTGAATTCCAGACCTGCACAGGAGCTGAGAATTCAGCAGTTTAAAGTGTAACAGTTTGTGGAACAGCATCTCACCGTGGAGGATTCAGGTAAGTAATCACCAGATACCATCTGAATTATTGCGGTACTTATCCTCAAGTTTAATTTTGCACACTTTTAACACTTTTTGAAGCCAAAGCTGCCTCTGAAAATGGGTTATTTTACAAGTATTTTCACTTTTTTTTTTTTAGTATCTGTCTTGGAATTAAAACCAGTAAGTTATACCAGTCTTAAATATGGATGAATTATAATGACCACTATTTTGTCTACAAGACACAAGTTGAGAATTCTAGACAATTCCAATCAGTAAGCTTGTTAAGCATACATGAAAACCAGGAAGGGTAGGCCAGGGAAAAAAAAAAAAAAGGGCCAGGACTTCACCACCTTCAGTAATGACAGCCCCCCCCTCCCCGAGAGAGCAACTCAAAGTACCTTTAACTACAACAATCCTTTTTGTGTCGGGACTGTCAGCTGGAGGGGTATTTAAGGCAAGAGGCCCAGCAGGTTATCCAGTAATCACTACCTAGACATCACTACACTGATCTCACCGCCTTTGCTAAGGGAGTTTGGCAATAACAATACGGTACTTTAACTCTTCAGAATATGGGTGAGGCAGAAACCCTGCGCAAAGCCAACAGTCCGTATCCATTTGGATGACAGACCCACCACATCTCCACCAGTAGTTTGTCTTAAAGCTGTACCTACAGGCACAAAGAGTGATGGGAAGCTACTGCAGTAGGCACTAGAGGTGGCTTGAGAAAGAGCATCTGCCTCTGAGTTCAGTCTGAATGAAGCTGCAGGATAGAGGGAGCCCAGAGGGAAACCAAGGAATGGGTAAAGGAAGGTGGGATTTGTTTATGTTCACAGTAATAGCTCACATGTAGAGACAGGTAATAACCCACATCTGATTTCTGGAGTGCTGCTCTACTTGATGGCTCTCCGCTGGGCCTTAGGCGTAGTGGAGAGAGGCAGGCTTGGCTCCAAACGGTACCTAGACAGGAATTCTCTGGGTTTCAAAGAGAACAGTTTCCTACTTGTTATCTGAATCCCCTTCTTGAAAACAAAACAAAACCAAACCCAGATGACTTCCCAAACACTGAGCTGCTGGCAATTTGTACAGCAAGTCATTTAGGTATGATTTTAGAAGATGCAATGAGTTAGAACTGTACAGAGGATTGGGAAATAAGTGTCACATTTTGAGCCTATCCAAGATGTGACAGTTTCTATAAACAGGAGTTCAAAAGCGATGAGCTGATCTGCCCTCTTGCTCCGCAAAGCTTTGGTATGACTGAGCACGCAGAGCTGCACTGATCCGGGAACACGGCCCAAGTGAAGGATACTGCACTGGGTAGAAATTTGATTTCCCTTGCCTACGCCGGCCGGTCTGTGATTCTGCTCCAATCTTACCTTCATTTTATTTTCGCAGAACATTTTAAGAGACCCTCATAAATGTATATGCAAGATGACATATCCCATTATAATTACCTGCTAAACCTTAACTGACTGCATCTTGTCACATGATGTAGATCCTAAAGCAGACCTGCTAGTGTAACACTAAGAGACAGGAAGGTAATCACTTGGGTACATGTGCACCAAAGTATTTACATTAAAGTTAGGGTTGGTGCACACTTAAGGGAATTTTTGGTGCATTTAAGGAAATAACTTACAGGTCTTGGCGTACTGACTGTACTTTTATGTGTAGCTTTTCATTCACAGGGCAACTACAGTGTTTCTTCTAGAAGTCTCTATATGTACAGAATTTTACAGCACCTCATGCACTGTCCAAACCAGATAGAAATTACAGATAAATATAGAATTTTTAGACTGAAATATCTGTATATTTAGAAAAATATACATTAGTAAACACAATAAAACAGGTAGAGAAGTGTACCAGTTCTAAAGTCTCACATGCAGGTACATTTCTGGATTAAGTCAGGGTAGCTTAGTAATGTGATAGCAGACATGAGCATTTTTTGTTTTACCATCCACATACACACATATACACAGACAACTATTTGATAATTTACTTTTCTAAACTACTTAAATATTTATCTTGTGATAGATACACCACATATCTTAAACATTTAGCAGCATCTTCACCTCGCTCAGACACACCTATTGTTATCATTAATAGTTAATGAAAAAAAGTTTTCCTGTTAGTATCTGGAAAATGAATGTTTAGTACAGAATGAGATGCATGAAATCCTAGTTAAACTAACTCCTCCACAATACTTTGAACAGCTGTTGTATGAAATACTTTCACTTGCTCAAAACTAGCCTTTCGTAGTGTCTTTCTCCCCTAATTGCACAAGGCCTCTAACATCTGATCTAGTATACCCTAACAGGTAGCAACTATCACCGCTGTCAGTATGACTGGAATGGCACCATCACTCTTAAGAACCTCCAAGAATGCTCTTTTTTACAAAACAGTAACTGTCATTCTCATTCTAGTCATCCTACCAGGCAGTGACAGAAGCAGATTGTCCAATGAAAATATGATTTAGCTAAAAACCAAAACAAAACCCACCACCACAAAACCAAACCAACCCCTCTCCCCTCTCAACATTTACAGACCTGACAATCTGAATTCTCAATTTTCAAGATTTAATGAACAGATGCAAGGAGGGTGGGGTTTGGAATTTTTTTCCCCTCGCAACCTGCATGTAGACATCCAATTAAAACCTACAGACACATTGATACGATCTTTGCGTGCAATCTAAGGAAGCCATCTTCTCTTATTGCTTCAGAATTGTACTTATCAGCATCTACATTCACACCACCAAATGGTCAGCCACCAGGCCCCACTGTGCTCATGGCTTGATGGAAAACCCCTATGTGAGCCTGCAGCAAAAGCGCAAGCGTTTTTAGCAAGTACATGGCTATTTGGGGATTGCTAACAAGGGAGGCTCCTTTGACAGTATTCTCCCTTGGGATGGAAAAAGAAGGTTTTCCTGACTGAAGCTTGGTGCCCGTGTTTCATGTGTTTCATTTGGTTAAGTGAATTTATGGAAGAAAAAAAAAAAAAAAAGATTAAAATAAGTGATATTTACAATATAACGTACTATGGTGTGGAAACTGAAGAATCTTCTCATTCCATTCATTAGGGAAGAGTGAGCTCAGCCCACTTTTGGCATCACAAACAGAGGATTTTCTAACTCGTAATAAAAAGGCATCGTGTCTGTCCAGATAGCACATCTTATTTACAGCATACATAGGTCTCCTATTACACAGTATACGCACACAGTTTAGTCACGTTCAGCATATAGTGCCAACAGCAAATCATTAAAACAGTCAAGCCAAGCCACAGCTCTGCTGCTATCATTGCTGCTACATACAACACTCGATCCGTTTCTCAAAGCAGCCTCTGAGCAATAGGATCACAGAACATGTCTCCTGGGAAAGGAAAATAAAAGTCTCATGCTGGTGCCACATTTAAAAGCTCTGCCAAACTTAAACAAAACCAGAGAAAACACATCCTGAGAAGTATAACAATAAAACTAAGTAGTGGTACAAATTTTCTGTAGAGAATTTGAGATTCCCTCTACAAGTCTGAAATCTCAGTATTAAGAGCCACAAAGGTTACCTGTGCTATACACCGTTTTGACTAACATTTTCCACATACACTGGGATCTCAAGACCCCCTGCCCCTTCTGCCCCACGACAATCAACTTTATAGGCTTTGTAAAAATCTGTAGTATATGAATGTTTTGAGATTTTTGAGACTTACACTCTTCCTATACTGCATCAACTCCATTTTTCTTTCCTTGTTCACATAAAAGTCTTTAAGAGCCCCAGGAAGCAATACTGATTTACAGTGTCTAAGCCTCTTTTCCTTCAGAAATAGTTCTGAGGAAGTTGCCTTTGACATCATTCTGTGTCACACTTTGGTGTTGAAAAACAATTCAGAAGCCAGGTGCCTGTCACCAGACAGAAAAGAAATTAAACAAACAGATGACTTCAGTTTAGACACCTAGTCTGGTAAGTGATGGTGAATGTTACTATATACAACAGCTGACACTATAATATATATGGTCACAAAAAGAGCTAGTCTTAGCCACAAGCTGTATTTTCACTTTGTTCTTGTTAAGCAGAAATTTACATCAGCGTAAGTTTTGATCGATGAACTTGAACCTAACAGGAATTGTAACAATGAGCCTACTAAAGGGAGAACGGTCACTAAACAAAAGAAAGAATGTTATAAAACAAAAAGGTATAAACAACATTGCTTTTTAGCAGTAAGCTTCCAATTCACAAGCTATCTAATGAAAAATGTAATTAAAAACAATGGAACAAAAAGCACAGAAATTCCATTACATCACACTCATAAAAATACAGCAGTTGATCACACACAAATATTCAAAAAGATAATATAGAACCCAGCTAGATATCACAGGAAATGAAGCCACAGATCACTATACAAATATTAAACAGTGTCCTAAGAAAATAAAATGCCTTTTTTTTTTTTTTTTTTTTTTTTTTTCACAAGTGTGAATAAATAGTCCTAAACGTTAAGCGTCACTCTACAAGGCTCCATGTTATCAGGTTCTCTCTCGGGCTACTTCACCATTATTCAGACTGCACTGAATTACCTTGCATGCAAGCTTTCTAACGTCAGTACTTCAACCGTAGTAAGGCTGGCTCCCAAGGACAGCCTAATAAGCAGCCAGCAAGGTATTGCTTTACATTATTTTAAGAGACACGTATAAGGGAACCTACACAACAGATGTCTAAAATCAAGAGACATCAAGAATTTGTAAAACATCAAGAATGCACCAACGTTAAGCCGAAAGAAGCTGGAGCAATGGAGCTGTGTGTTGGTTGCTGCTTTTAATATTTAAAATTCTGCTCCCATGAAATTGTTATTTTTTTAAGGAAGAAAAAAAAACCCAAAGAAATGAATGTTCTTTCCTAATAAGAGCTATAGACTTTTGACCAGTTAAACACTGACGTTAACAAGTTTTACAAAAATTGTTTCAAGTATCCTTTTTTTTTTAATCACAGTGAAAATGTAAGACCAAGATGCAAACGTTGAAGTGAATGACTGAAAGTTTCTTAGATGAAAAAGGCAAAGGTACTAAATCAAAACATATAAAAATGCTTAAACGCATTTCCTTCATGTGATATGAATAGAAAGGTTATCTGTAAAAAGTTAGAAAAATTAAAATAAATTACATATTTAAGTACACTTTCCCTTCAACATTTTTATAAAAATTCAGAATAGCGTACTTTTGAATATACACAGAGTAAAAATGCACAGGTGCTGTAGGTTACCGTCGGTATCTACACAACGTCACATTAGCATATTTGCTGCAGTTGATTTTATTTGTTACTTAAGCTCCTCTTGAGAAATCTCAATATACCCAGCTAATCGGGACCCACTGTGGTTCCAGCCTCAGTCTCTCGATAGCCGTCTGCAGCTTCTCAAAGGCTTTGTCCAGGTTGTCATTTACAATGGTCAGATCAAAATAGTGGTTGTATGCTCTCTGGATCCGTGCACTTTCATCCACTGTTTTTTTCAAATCGGTGTCCTGTTGAAGATGTTTTAAAGATTACTAAGAACGTAAGACCTGGCAAATCCTTATAAATACAGAAGTATCCCTCCATTACATACTGCAAATGACTATTTAAAGCTACATACTGAATATATTTAGGAAATAATGAAGGTCTTCATTTATAGTAAATCCACACAGAACTTATGCTAAAATGCAATGGAAGGGCTAAAAAAGTTATGAGCTGTGCCAATAATGTTAAAGATGGCAACCAAATGTTTTCACATCTTGCAATTTTTAAGACAACAGAAGCACATTGTGCAAGGTTTAATCCTTGCCGGGATGAGAGAGCACGTGGCTGTTGCCCCTCCCCCACCCGCGCCGGTCGGGCTGGAAGTTAGACACAGACCCCGGCTAAAATAACAAGAAATTTAATACAACAGAGTGATAGAACAATCTGAACAGCAACAGTATCAATGGTAACAACAATAAAAGTGAACAAGACAAACGATATACAGAGAAATACTGCTAGCTGGTCTACGGAAAGCAAAATTTCCTCCCGAACCCACCAAGGAGCAAGGAAAAAGGATTCCGCTCCCGGACCTGACGTCAGCATGGTATGAATAACCCGGCTGGAGATCCCTTCCCCCTCTCTCTCTGCTGGGGAGAACTTTACTCTATCCTGGCTGAACCAGGACACACATGAACTCGGGCTGGTATGCACAAAGGGCAGTTAATTGTTTTGTATGTGTGACTGACAATCCAATCAGAACAAGTATATATATGCCCCTTTTTATTTCCACAGAAAGCACCAAAAATCCAAGAATTTAAATCAGTATGAAATGAAAGACACTGAAAGATACATTTCTAGTAGAATAAAGGTCTAGAATACCTTACTGCTTTTAGAGGCTACATTTGAGCCTTGCTCACCTGACATCAATTCCTCATTTGTAAACTACTGCTGTAACATTTTAGGTTCTGGTATGAGCTGCAAAATACACAGGACATGTAAATTCCTACATTATGAGGCTTTCATTAAGTGCTGCTACTGAGCATTTTTTTAATGTTTCATTAGTCCTACACCACTTTTGTACAAAAGCAATTTTTTTTCTAAGCAGTTATGAGATTTGTCCCTTGACAGTATTTATTTTAATATTGTCAAGTCCTCACACAGTTGTAAATACAAAAGCCGAAATGAAAAAGTAAGTTTGTGAATAGCCTTTCCTTCACAATAAATGAAGGATATGAGCGAATGCATCACCACAAAAGCCAGAATTTTTGCAGTGGAATGGCTTTGGATGCTAGAAATAATGTATACAGAGCCACTAGCAAGCAGAACATAATACTTTAAATGACATTTGTTTTTCATTTGTTTAGGAAGTACAAGAATATGAAATGGGAAATCATACTCTTTATATACATGTGTACAGATATGATTTAGAATCTGTAGAGATACATAAATGTATATTTAAAATGTAACTATTCTCTTTATTATTCATAAGGACAAAAAAAAACAAAGGCAAGGATGGCCCTTAAGGGAATCAAATATTAGGAAGTGCAGGGAATTATTTTTATACTTGTCTAGACAGTTTTAACCTCGCCTTCTTGTATGTGCATCACAAAATTCAGGGTTCATTTGGAGCAGGGAGGAGGAAAGGCAGAGCACCCACAGAGATACCAGAATCTATAATAAACAGAATCCATGACTAGGACTGGACAGTCTCCCATGTGGTGAAGAGAGTAGGATCTCACAGGTTTGAAAAGGAAAAAAAAAAAAAAAAGAGACTAAAAATCCCATAATCATGTAGTAGAAATTAACCCACTCCCCATTTTATTGCTTTGAATGCCCCATCAGCATTATCCAAGATATTGCTACTATCTAAGGTGCAGCACTATTGTAGTGAGTTGTCAGCAAACCCTGGATCTTCTCAGAGGGGAAGTTGTACTGCTGAACATAGAGGAGAGGTAACTCCTCAGTCTGGCTTCTTTTGCTTTGGTCCTGCAGCTGGGAAAGTTCACGCCCGTAAGGAATAGCTCTAATTTGCTGCGCTGGAGGAAGCATGTCTCATTTCCCTCTGCTGTGTAGCAGTGTCTCAGAAAAGGAGAGAAGATCTAATGAATAAAACGTGTCACTTCACTTTACATGACAACTCCAAGGAACTGAATGGGAAGAGAAGCTATTCAACACTTCTTATTCCGGCAGCTCCCAGCCACCCTCAGTGCAGCACGTGCTGCTGCAGCCGTGGAAACAAGGCCTAGCTGCATTCTGTTGTTGGTTGGGTTTTCAGTTTTGAGGGTTTTTTAAAAAAACACAGGCTGCAATATATTTCCTAAGGATTACAGGTTCCATTTTTAAAGCACACCTGTATTGTAAGACAAACCTGAACAAAACTTTTTCAGGGGAAGAGATGGGGAAAGTGAAGGAAAGTTATTTACATAAAAGAACAATTCCCCCATCAAAGATCTAACATTTGTTGCAAGTAATCAAAGGTGACACTTCCCAAAGAACACATTACAAGTAATTTTTGTAATCAACACTCCTCTGTAAGAGATCTATTTTTAAGAAAGAAGCAATCTGCCTTAAACATAGTATTTTAACAACTTCTACTGAGTGTCCTGGGTTGCAGTGTATTCTATTACCATCCTCATGAACTGCTGAAATCAGGTGGGGCAGTATTTCCTTGCCTCCCCACCCCCTCCAGACTATCTTTCTGTTAATGGCCCATCAATGCCATGCAGCATGACTCATTATCCCATTGTGAGATGCTCCACCCAGAGGGAGAAAACCAGCATTCCATCCTGGATATAACCTGAGATTCTGAATACCAGAGACGCTCTCTTTTCCACTGGATTTCCAGAGGACAGGAGCTACTTAGCCACCACTGGACTTTTCTGAGGAAGAGCAGATCTTTTTTTTTTTTCTACAGGATCACTGCTTCGGGGGGACTGCAGCCACCATTCTACCAGACTGCTACCACCACCTTGATTAACAGGGTGTCAGTTGTATCCTAACTCTATTAGTTTAACTCAGTGGTATCTGCGTTTATTTTTTTTTTCCTTATTAAATTGTTATTCTGACTTGGTGTCTCCCACTAGTTTGCTCTAGCACAACTGAGTAATCAGCAAATCCTGCCTAAGTTTTCTTAGAGACATTAATTTCAGAACAAATTCCATCTAAAATGAAAGGTAAAACACCCCCCCCCTACAACTAAGAACATCCTGTTCAAATCAAACTAAGTATGAAAAAAATCCGCTTACAGTGAGAAGTTTGGTTGTAATTCCGGCATCCACCACAGCCTTGTGCATAGCACGCAATGTCTCCAACTCTGGAGCAGCAATAAACACTACATAGGGCATGAATTCTGAAGTCCTCAGTATTTTCAGGGCCTAGAAGCAAAGAAAAAGAAGAAACCACCAACCGCCTAAGTTTGAGAATGACTCACCACGTGTCCCCATTACTTAAGGAGCACTGCAAAACTAGTCTGTTACAATGGGTAGAAACTCCTAAGCAAAGATCCATATTTCTATTTTAGAAACTCCTACACCGCCTTTTGAAATGCTCAACATCCTTCTTTCCTTGGCTAAAAAGATTGTTTACTGCTCTGCAAGACTCCTCTTCCATGCAGAATCTAAGCTGGGTTTTTTCCATCTTTCTAACTCATTCCAACTATGCGCCACAAATGCAAGAATCCAGTTGATACTGTAATCTTTAAACCAGATAAGAAGCCTTCAAATTTAAAGGCATAATACCTCTTCAACATTATACTCTCACACTTCCAGTGTAACTTTATAAATTATATACCTGTGGATTAACATCCAAGATGCAGGTCCTTCCTGTCTGAACAACTTCAAGGATGGAATCAATTTTGGTGCCATAAAGGTTTCCTTCATATTCTCCATGCTCTAAATATCTGCCAGCTTTAATATCCATCTCCATTTCAGCTCGTGACACAAATCTGTAGGCTTGCCCATCCTTTTCATCATCCCTTGGCTTTCGTGAAGTAACTAAACAAAAAAATTGTATTTTAAATTGAATGTTTTCTTTTTATATTTGAAATACAAATATGAGACTGGACTGCTTATTACATTAGGGAAAATATAATACACATTAATGTACAGTTACAACTGTTCCATATACAGATTAATTATTCTAGTGCAAGCTTCAAAACTGAGCACAGCCCCTCCTGTTCCCTTTATTTCTATTTCCTGTATGTTGCTTATCCACCCATTTGCTTATTTCCTTTGTATTACTCCTTCACAACATATAAAATACTCATTCATGTAATCTTTTTAATTATTCCCTCAATAAAATAATTATTTAAGTGACTTGGAAATCAAATGGAAGTTTAACTCCCAAATGCCAAACTTCCTTCTGGAAATAACAGCACATATCAAAATCTGCCTCGCCCTGACCCACAAACTTTAGCACATACTTTGTTCACTGTATTTGCTGTTACTCGGGGTAGAACTACCTGAACTAGCTATAAAGAAAGTTAGCTTAAATATCAGAAGCCCATCCACCACAGCAAAATCTTAGAGGAGCTCAGCTAGTGCTACTTTCCAAAACAACTCACCCTTAAAGCAAGGTAAATTCACTGCAGATAAATTAAAGCCAATATTTAAGTAAAACATTAGCAGTTGTCTTGGGTATTGACTACATTGTGCAGTACAGACACTATTTAAGCAAGAAAGTGAAAAAATAAAAATATTATTACTGATTTTGCTGTCCTATCACCATATTACCTGCCCACTACTTGCATTAAATTAGATTTTTAACTCTAGAATATATGAAACATAACAGTGAACAGATCCCTTTGGTGATACTTGTGTCATCACTTGGTGCCATATCACCACTTGGCGATACAAGTGGAAAGCATTCTCCCCCTTCCAGTAATTCCTAACAACTTCGTTATTTTAGAAAAGGAGAAGCTGTTAACAATGAACATAATACTAGAACACCTAGTTTTACCCAAGATTCTACAGAAAGTTTAAAACTCTAATGGTTAATACAATACACCAAAAAAAAAAAAAAAATAATCATAGCAGTTTGAAATGAAAATTTTGGAGAACGAGCTTTAACAGTTCACAGCCAGAAGATGACTTAACAGTTTAGCTATCCACACAGAAGAAAAAACACAGCACCATTTGCTGGATTAGAACTATCCATAGCAAAATGGATTCATTTCAGCCATTTTCCAAAAATAAGACAAAAAGAAAAAACCAAAACACCCACACATAATAATTTGTGAATAACGAGAAGAATTTTCTTCTAATCAAAGAAACTGAGGCTAACTAAGATTACTGATCATCCTATATAAAATCTAAGTAGAGATGAGATTCCATATACAATAAACTATGTATTACACATGTGTGATTAGATTGTCAGATTGCTAGGTTGGAAATGTTAATTTTTATGCCTTTGAAGGGTGTTCAAAAGCTCCAAGTAAAAGCATTTAAACACCGTGTTGCATTACTTATCTATATTTAAGCATCTATATGGTATTTTAGAGAAACCAGTAATTTTTAGGCTTTTTAAAAAGGGAATAAAGAATGATAAAAAGATATAAATGATTAAAAGTTTCCTATTATTTTGCCAATATAAAATAATGAGATTCACAGGGGAAGATTTATCTTTAAAAGTAACACTGAGAAGTCAACTTTGTTATCAGTCTCACACACCAGTTCCTAGTGCCCTGGCCAGTTTTGGTGTTGGAGATTCTGCAAATGAGTGACTGGTTCTCTCACGCTGCACAATTTATCTTTCAGACCTGTTCCTCCTCCCCTGTTATCAGATCTACTTCTTGCCCACTGAAAACAGAAGGCAAGAGACCAGTTTTTAAGTTCTGAAAAGCAGGTGGCAGGAGGAGAATAATAATGTAGCTAGGGTACACTTAGCTGGTCAGCAGTCAAACAGGAAGGGGCAGTTAAAAAAATAAAGACCTTGTGAATGGACAAAATATCTAGAAGGAATGCAAGAAAATAATACTTCAGTAAGGGAGGAGGTGCTTTCTGAAGTTCATAGGAAGAAAAAAGAAAGATCATGGGCTTGATGCTAGATGTATTAAAGCATCAGATTATCATTAAAATATTTAAGATCACAAAACTTCAGTTTTATTGGAAGTTAGTTGCTTTTCCCTACATTTCTAATGCTAAAGTATCAACTTATAGTGCTTAGGATGCTTCTACCAGTGAAATACTAAATGACAGACTCAAGAAACTCCACTGGTGGTTCATTACAGAAGACTAGGAACGTCTAAAAACCCCTCACTAACTGATGGTGATGGACACTGAAGAAACCTAGCAGAGTGAAATACTACACATAAAAAAACCTGTTTTTCTGCCGCATCAGTAACATTTAACTGCTAATTACAAACATTTTCACTGTCCATATGTTAGTTCAGCTGTCTAAGAAGATGAAGAACCTTTTGTTTTTCTACTCTATATAATTTTCGTACTCTGACAAAATTACTCCTACCCTGAATCACTGGGATAAACATCAGGTATTTTCCAGATAATTAGATACTCAAAGTATGATATTACAATAGGACAGCTGACAACTTACATGGCACTGTAGTTCCAAACCTAGTCGGATTCAGTACTATAAACCTGTTCTTCAAACTTCTTCGCCCTACTCCTTGGGCCCCAATTAAGACCAGTGTTTTCCTCTGAAAGGGAGGCATTTTGGCTACTTCCTCATAGATCTGGATTTCATGACGATCAAATTCTACATTGAGAAATGTACAAAAAATAGTTATTTCACAGTCAATACTGTAACAAAAAAAATTTAAGTGGTCCTGGTACATACCAACAGACCACATGTCAATATAAATTAGTGCTCAAGCTTTCTTGCTTTAAGTTGGTATGGGAAGAAAATAGTTACCCCTTCATGGACAGCGTAAAGTCAGATTATCACCTTTACTTCCATGGACAAAATTCGAGATTGATCAGAATGGGAAAACTGTGATTAACAATTAGTTAGCTTTCACAGAATCACAAAATGGTTGAGGTTGGAAGGTTCCTCTGCAGGTCATCTGGTCCAACCCCAATGCTCAAGCAGAGCCACCTGGAGATGGCTGTTGAATATCTTCAAGGAGGAAGACTCCACTATTTCTCTGGGACAAATCATGCCAGCACTCAGTCACCCTCAGTGGAAGTGTTTCCTGATATTCAGAGGGAACCTTCTGTGCTGCTGCTTGTTGCCTCTGGTCCTGTCACTGAGCTCCTTCAAAAAGAGCCTGGCTTCTGTCTTCCTTGCACCCTCCCCTTCAGGTATTTATACACATCGTTGGGTTCCCCCCTGAGCCTTCTCTTCGCCAGGCTGAACAGTCTCAGCTCCCCCAGCCTTTCCTTATAGAAGAGCTGCTCCAGTCCCTCCATCGTCTCCGTACGTTCATGTGTCTCTTGCACTGGGGAGGAGCCCAGGGCACTTCAGGTGTGAACTCACCAGTGCTGAGTAGAGGGGAAGGATCACATCCCTCAAACTGTTGCCAGCAAAGCTTTCATTTTTTTTCCCTCTCTTAACACACAGTTCTTTGACTTCCACCTACCAAAAGGTGTACTCAGCACCACTGTATCTTCACTGGTCACTATTGCTTTTAAACCATAAAACTATCTGATCTATCAAATTTATAATAAAATATTTTACTGCAAATCTTTCACACTAAACTCTGCGAGTCTACAAACAGAGAAATTGACTCATATTTAATATCAAGGGATACCTGCATTTCTTGTAGTGAGATACATCATCTTTTTCTTTTTTTTGCTGCTTATTGTTCCGCAGAAAGGCCCTAGAAATAAAAATTGAGACAAACTCATCTTTTTTGTTAAATATGCTTTTCCGAAGCTTATTTACATGAACATATGCAAGTTTAAATTAAATTTACAAGGACTATTTTAGAATTTTATTCTAGGGCAGGAGATCACATCTATTATCATACACATCAAATGGTACAGTAAGAACTGAACACAGAGAAAGAGTTAATTTTCCTAGAAAGCTTTGTAAAAAGCAGCAGAAAAATCCAAACTAGTTTAATTTATTAACTTCAGTGCTTACTACGCAAACGTAATTTTTTAAAAGAGAGAGAATTCTTATGCCTTTCCAACCTCATTTAGCTTTTTATCAGTGGGAGGCAAAACTGATTTGTGTAGCTATGAAGGCTAAGCATAGACTTTAGCCTTTGACCTTCAGCCAAAGCCAAAATACAGTAATTATCATTTTGCAACATTCTGTGCATTCTCACACAACAGTTTTCTAGCATCTATAAAGGCAGGAAAAGCAAAACAAATGGAGTCAGAGCAAAACCTCTTCCTGAAATTCATTAAATCTCACCTGAGTTGTCCCAGTCCCTCCTAACAAAGGCCTTTCTTTTCTCTTCTAGGAACTGGCTAGGAATAAGCCCTGCACTTCCTCCTTCTTTGACATGACTAGCCTGGGGAAAAAAAACAAACAACAAAAACCAAAATACCAAACGTCAACTGTGAGAAGCATTTTTCTCATCAACATGGTGATGCTAGTTTCTCAGTGGTGAGCACTGATTCATTTACTACTGAGACTTGGAAATTTAAACTCAGATGTGGATATTTAAAATTCTGTCTTACAGTGAAAGTGTCTTGCCATCAAGTATTAAAATTCAGGAAACTTAAATAAAATAGATACAAGTTTCATTACTGGTTCCCATTAAGTTAGTAAGCTCCTATAGCCATAAACCTTTATCATCAAAATCCTAATCGGAATTCTGTGGCTCTAGACACCGAGCTCTCAAGTGACAGAACTCAAAACTTTTTAGTATGCAGTACACTTATTTTGTATTCTTGAGCTGCTCCAAACAGGTTCCAGTGCAGCTTATTAACAGTCATTTTACAAACAGTGAACGCCATTAACACATGTCTAATCATGCTTTCAAGCTTTTTGCACTAAGTAACTACAGATTTAAAATCTTAGTAACTTGTTTTCCTAGTAATGAAAGTTTGGCTAAGATTCTCTATAATAAAGATTCTCAATAATTTCATGGCAAGCTCAGTTCTCAGCAAGCCTAACAAATACAAACACAGAATTACGAAAGGTTACATTTTTCTTCTCCATAACTGATTGGCCCCTCTCTCTTGCCAACAGGACCTGTTTGCTTTTCAATTTGTATGCTTTTACCTATGACTCATTTTTTACAGTCAGCCAGTTTTCAGTAACACTCTAGCATTTCTAGAAAGCACAAGGAAAAACTAACTTTTTTCCCCAGCAGCATGATCTGCATAGGAATACTTGCAACACACTATACTGGTTTAACGCATTTCATTTTTGCCACTGATTGAGTGTTTATTTCTCCTGGACTCCCCCAAGTTACAACTGGAGAATATGCAAAGTAGCACAGAAGACAGCATGTAAGCTAAATGTCAAACTACTCCAGAGTTTTGGAGTGTCTAACCTCTGAAACTAATTAACTCTTCAGTAATAAATTTTCCCTCTCAATTTTTATTGTCCCTCTGTTATTACTGTTACTGATAAGCAACAGAATTCAACAACAGTTGTTTGTTGTATATTCAGATTTTTTTGTTGCTTTTAAAGAAGTCACATATAAATAAAAATAAATAAATATATATATATATATATATTGCTCTCAAGTAACATTTGTCCAACTATTGCTTGTTACCTAGCAAAGGCTGAGTAATATAGGAGAAGAAAGGGAAATCACCAATGCTGAACTCTTTGCCTGTGACTTTGCCAGTGCCACTTGCAATTTTGAGTATCTCAGTTGAGAAATATGTCTTAAAGGTTCACTTGTCATTTGTTTCGAAGGCACTGATTATGTTTAATTGTGTATAGTGTCTTGGAAAAAATAAAAATAGCATAAGCACAATCTGGATTACATTTCTACTAAAGGACTGAATGTAGAAATACAACCTTAAAGCAGGATGAACTGTTAACATTTTAAATAGTGCCAAACACTTTGATTATGAACATGCATGTTACAGCTCACTGACCACCACTGTAGAAATAAAAGATACAGCTTCTCCAAACAGCTATTCTCACCCCTCTTCAAATCCACAGGGTTAATTTCCCTTTCTCTCTCCTCAACTCTGAGCACTCAGGAAGGGGTCCACTTCTTCCACAGTCGCTGTCAGGAAGGCTTACCACAATTAACACAGTCAATCTAAGACCTTCTGCTAGAAATTGTCCACTTACACTGATTTTGGAATGTCTAGGCTTATGATACAAGAACAAAGACAGATAAATAACAGTAACAGCAAAATGAGTGTTACGTACACAACTTATACCATTCGATTTTCTCTAGTATTTCAACTATTACTAGCTTGCTATTAGCTTGAAATTGGATTGCAGTGTATATATTTTTTCTTGTATCTACTGTTAAATTATACGATAATTTAAAGAGTTTATTATTATGGCAACTAGTGAAGCTTTTCCTTTTTTATTTTTTTAAAATCCTTTTACCAACCTGCCACCAATTTGGATCTTCCCGGTTTACAATCTGAAGAATTTCTCCTTTAGAAAATTTCAAACCTGCTTCTTTGCATGGGATGAGGTTGTCGTTATATGGATTATAATCAAAATGACACTTCACAAAAACCTGCAATGTGTAAAAATTTACAAAGCTTAAACATTATGAAATACATTCTTACTAATTTATCTGTTCTGAAGTAACATCTTTACCTACCACATAAAAAAAGTAAAATACAATCTATAAAAAAACCTGGCATATACCAGCAGAGAGAGTAGAATAACCAGCAGTGCAAACCTTCTCTGAAGGAGCTTCATGATAAAAAATAAAAAAAGCAACTGTTCTATTAATGTATTACAAAATACTAATTTTTACATTTCAATATATCTCAATTAGTATTCTCAGAATGTGAGCACTGTATCCAAGGCTTGTGGAATCTTAAGAATTAATTGTGTCTTGGCCTCAATGTTTTAAAACAAACAAGGTATGTGACTGCTTAAGGCTCAGAGCTGATGCAGGAGAAGAAACAGTAAGTTGCATCAGTAGACTGGAAACAGTAGACTTCGACTGTTTTCTACCAGGCTGGGGAACAAAGGAAGCAGTGCACCTGCCTCAAATACAGCACATTCCTCTAGCATCTACTCAATGTAAGCATGGTCTATTATAGTCATGGGCATTAAGACCCACTACCTGAAGGAGGATCTAATAACATGTTTCAGAGGCACTGATTTAGAGCAACAAGTTACTCTTGCAGTGGAGAAATCAACAGCCTATAGCAACAACAAAAGGATAAGGAATAGCCACCATCCAAGTTCCTACTTAAGTCAGCAAGTTCAAGCTCATCTGTTGAATTTACTGTGTTTCTGAATTATATCAAACAGATTACTTGGAGAATGATCCTGTCGCTGCAGTTTAGTGTGATTGTGGCTAGGTCATCAGAGGTCACCGGATGTCAAACAAACATGCTTAATATGTAGTATACAAGTGCTTATCAAGCTCGGATATTAACTAGAATTTTTAGGAAGGCCTATTAGGCATGGTATTAATCTACTGAATAAACCCATTTCTAAAATGTACCTCAAGGTGAATACAGGTATCTCCACATTTTAGTCTTCCTGCTAGCATTGAATATACTAAATAATCAAAGTATGTCTAATCCAAAATCTTGAAATGATCTTATGTGATAAAGTACCAAGCAGAAATTATTCTGACAGAACTGATAGAAACGTGCTACTGACCTGTTGAGGAATAACAGTGTCTCTGTAGCTGGGAAGAATCTTCAGAGTGACACTGCCACTAATATTTTTCAGCAGTTCCTGTAATTCTTTTGGATTGTTTCCAACCTCATGGCCATTCACCTCTTTAATAATGTCACCTACATGCAGAAGACCTTGTCGATCTATCATTCCGCCATGAAGAATTCGTGCTATTACCAGATCATTGTTCTCAACTCTAAACGTAACACCCTGAAAAAGGTATGTGACACCTAGTTTACCATTGTTTGAATTTCAATTTCATTTTACCATTACCTCAAGCAAAAATATACAGTTACGGGATATTCCATCTGCCCCAATAAAACCAGACAGTAATAGTTACTATAGTGTAAGAGTTCCTAATACACAGCTAAGAGTCAGGTGACACAAAAGTGCTTTCAGACAAGGTTTTCATACAACTGAATAATGACCGTATTGTTCTTGATCGCATGCAATCCTGTCATTTTGTATCAGGACCAAATATATGTTGTGTTAGTCAGTTATGCAAGTCATTCAACCTAGTGACTGCCTACTCACTATCCTATATTTTCTTAAAGAGAACAGGAAGGAGAACGCACAAATATTTTCTTATTTCAACCTCTCAGTACTGATCCTATCACCCATTAAATTACACAACAAAAGGGAAATAATTAAAACATAATGCAAGAAGTCAGGCACGTGCAAACATTTTCACTCACACTCTAATTTAGACACACTCATCTTCAGTTACTTACCAGTGGTTCTCCTGCTCTTTTGTGAATTCCAAGGATACGAATAGCATCTACTGGAACAATCTGGTTGTTCACTGAAGAATTATTAACTTCTGGGCTGGAAGGAGGGGAATCGTAACATTTTGAAGCCACAATGTCATGTGCCTCCAAGAGTGACTGCAAAGGAACAAAAAAGGCCTTATTTTAAATGAAATAACCATTTGCAAAAGGATTTAGTGCTGAATAACCACCAAATGTGCCGTTTTGGGACAAGATCATAAAATCCTTACTTCACAAGGAATGGAGCAAAAATTGACATTCAAATACACAGATTGATAAACCTACTATCTTGGCAAACATGCTCTCTTTTGTAAATACAAAATGCTTCTTCTTAAGGAAATACAGGAAAAACGTAATGAATTTGGGAGGAGTATGTGATCTTGCAGGGAAGAAGATGGAAAAAGAAGTACCTAGAACAGTCCTTCAACCTCATGAGACAGTATTGAAGCAAATGGTTAAAGTAAACTAACAACCCACTGAAAAAAAATGAACTCATCATTAGATACTTGTGTTTAATGTAATAAAATTCTTCTCCACAGTAATTTGGATAATTACAGGTATGCAAGGATTTCCAGCCATCTACAGAAGGAGTGTTTTCTGCCTGCATAAAGGCAAGGCAGAATTCTAACATGAAATGAATCCAAGTTGACAGATTCTGCTTTCTGGAAGACAAGAGCTCATACCTTACAGTTAACAGTGTTTTCACCATTTTATGTATACATAAATACCAAGCAAAAGGAGGACACCCAAATAAGTGTAAGCATCTTTGGAAGGCAATGCAATTTAGACTGGATTTTCTCATAAAACATTTAAAGAAAATATTAATAAGGGAATAAATACAGGTAAAACAAGATCAAACTTGTGAAATTAGACAGTGGACACTTTCTGTCCTAAAGAGGAAAAGGGACACCCTATAGACACCATATATGGTAGAGTTCAAGATAAAGCATCCTATAGTGCAGAGAGTCTCACTGACAGATAGAGAAATAGGAAAAGAAGCAAGTAGAGGAGACGCCAACTAGGCCTCAAACAACATAGCTTTGTTTCAAACGGTGACCTGATGAGATACAGACTTAAGTCAGATCACTGACTGATGTCAAATAAGTAGCTAAAGAGAGAGACATCATAGGGACTATCACTGATAGTGACACACACACATGCCAGAGGAAGACAGCAAACTACTAGAAAGTAGAGCAAGTGAGCAGGAAACATTTAAGCAAATGTAACCATTTTGCTATGAAGTCTGTTCTATCCTTCCGTGAGCCACTTCTAGCCTAAAAGTTGTGCAACCGTATTCGTTTAGTGCTAACCTCAACGTGCAAACCCTCAAAGTGTCACAAACCTGAACAGTCATTTTAATCTGCCCATTACACAATGACCCTGCTGATATTTCAACTTCAAGTCAGAAGGAGGTACTAACTTACTGCCCCTGCCATTAAGACTGTAAAGACAGCTGCTTATTGTGTCTGCTCTGATACTGTGGACATAAACCAAATCAAATTAAATAGGAAAAACAATCATTTATTTAAATCAAGCAGCTGTCAGATGGTAGCAATTTCTAGTTCTTCATTATCCAAGACACATCCAATCCAGAAGCCAGGAGAACAGATCTCTCTTTGCCAATGTTTGCAAGCAACATTTTTGGATCTTTCTACATTTCCAGAATGAAACCAACCAGCATCAACTATGCATTTTAATACATTACCACTGACAAAACCAGGCAGACACACCAGTATGATACCTCCAGTTTTCTCTTTTAGTCACATGCTAGAACAAATTGTTTCCAAACTTTCTGGCCTCAAACCACTAGATTTCTGATGGAGCCTTACACGTAACTGTGATTCTGTGATTCTGTGATAACCACGCTTGTACAGCTCCCTGTCCTTAACAGGCATAGAATTTATGGATTATAATCTGATCCACAGTCAAAAAAAGACTACTAAACTAACAGTCTGTGTCATCCTTTTCAAATTAACATTCTGATCCTATTTATTCACTCAGTTTTATGGATAAGCATGAATTCTTTCAACTACTACTTAAACATCTCTCAATCACAAAATCTTTTCCCTGCTATTTACATGAGGGGTGAGTCACAGAAGGACCATCAGGGACTGTATGCTGCTGCCCACAATTATAAAATGGTTTCTTTAAAAGTAGTGTATTGGTTTCCTTAAAACAAGCCATGGTTAATATTACTTTCCCATATCTTAACTCTAAGTTCTAAAATTCAGGAATCTGTATCAGTTTTACAAGACTGCTTCCAGCCAGCTAGGTCACGGCACACAGTCCTTAGAACACTTAAACAAAGCCACCTGCAACAGGGGCCATATGTCTGTAGCCACTGCCAGACTGCTCTCCAAAATTTTATGTCCCCCAGTTACTTTCTTATTTCATTAAAACGGTTGAGTGACCCGAGAAATACAGTTGCATGAACTTCACTTGCTTCTTTCTTATGGTATCGGAAAAAGTTATATCCTGTGCTTCTGCAACTCCAGAGCTCCCCTGGAATCTGACCTTTCCCGTACTGGTGCTGGAACATTTATAAAACCACTGCCAAAGCCTGCAAAACAGCATGGACTGAATAATCAACCATAAAATTGTTCAAAGTTTCCTTCATACAGAATATGTAAACAGAATCAGATGCGTATCCAAGACTAGATAGCTGTAGAAATGTTCTCATGGAAAAAATGGCAATGTTGCTGGAATAAGGCAGATACTCTCTGCATATCACAAGAGATATCATACGGACATACAGTCCTATGGGAAACAGCATGGCCTCTTTGTGCAAGATACTGTCATAAAGTAACCCATAAACTCAGAACATACTGGCTTCTTTACAGCAGTTTTAAATGGCTGTCCTTATTTGACAGGTAAAAAAGAAATATTTTTAAAAAGTAATCCAAAATTCAGTAAACAAAGAATCATTAAACATCGAAGGGTCTCTATAATATTGAAGCCAAAATCAAATTAAAAACTTGTTTTTCAAAAAAAAAAAATCTCAACACAATCTATACATGTTATGAAGCATTGCCTGCCCTATATGATAACTATTTCCCCAACTGTGATCCAATAAAACAATTAAATTACAAACTGGGTACTGGGGCTGAGGGGAATACACAAGAGCATATTCTATGGTCTTGAATTCCAGACTCCTTTCTTAACACCTCAGAAGTACTTAAAATATTTCTGTTCCTCTTTTATGCACTAAATATGTGCTAGTTTTCTCTGATAACGGTCTTTAAATATTAGAACTTAATAAATGGACTACAGGCCCCTATTGTACATATGAAAATAAGACTTTTTAAAGAATGTTCTGGAAGAGTGAGGAAATCATTTAAAATCTTTGAGAAATCATGGGGGCTGGTAAGGAGGCATGAATACATGGGAAAAATAACCCTATGAGTTAAGATCTACCTAGGAGGCAACCTAAGATCACTTTTCTAATTGAAACATTTTAAAGGTATGATTAGCCATTATAAAGATAATTATTAGAATAAAATATGGGCTGCTTTTCAGGTTAATTACACACCAGCCATCAATAAACTCATTAAGAACTTAGTATCTTCCACACTTTGATCCTGAAAAGTTCAGTTCAAACTAAAAGGGGGACGGAAGGAAGGACGGAAGGATGGAAGGAAGGAAGAACGGAAGGAAGGACGGAAGGAGAAATGAGAAAAGGAAGGAAACCAACTGTCAAACGGAATAGTTATGTGCACCCGTACTCCAGAAGCCAGTCCCTCCCCAATGTTCTTCTGTAAAAATATGTAAAAGAAATTAAATTCTGTAATTCTGCATTTTCAGCACTAAATGATACATTCAAATAAGCTATTGCACTGATGACTCGTATACCACATTTGATACTTGTATGCCAAGGCAGGTTACAACTGTAAGATGATGCTGTGATAAAGTGCCACCATTCATTTGTAAAATACAGAATCAGCCTTTAAAACAGTTACACAATAGTGTCCATGAAACTTTAAAATAGTCAAGTCAAGGTGGCTTGTTTACATATTTACTGAACTGGAGAAAGGATGCAAATTACATTTTCTGTAATTACAAATGACATTGTATTTTTCCTTTCTTCCTTACAGGCCACTTCTTGGAGAATGTGGAATATGCCTCCTTGCACCAAATAAGGCAGAAAGGATAGCATTTATTTCTTGAGCATTTAGTTAGTTTTCTGTTTCCTATTCAGAGACAGACATACAGCCTCCCCAAGCCTTAAAAAGAATACCGTATCTATATTTTGGTCTGCATGTTGTCCTAGAAACTCTTCTAAAGTGGTCATAACTATGATACCAGTTAAATAAAAACACTTAATCAAACTAACACTACTCTGGCCTCAGTTGTCTTTGTTGGATGCCTCTAGATGGGGAACAGAAGCACAAAATTAAGGGCCAGAAAACACACCCTAATTTCAGGCTTCAAAACTGAATCACATCAGATCTACTTTTAAAAAGTAAGTAGCTAGCTGCTTTTTGCCTGCACCCAGCAGCCAAAACTGCTCATTGTTTCTGCAAATGAGACTGAAGGCCTCACAACAGGCACTTAGAAAACAAACAAACAAAAGAGCTGCTTTAGACTTTTTTTTTTTTTTTCTCCATTTTAAATAAATGAACTGTAATTCTGACACATTGAAGGATAGGTTAGTTCTCCAGGGCAGCATTTAACTATCTTAATCATCAAATAGTCTTTTTCCTCTTCCGTTCTCATCCAGGTTTTGCAGCAAATGAAGTAGGGAGCTCCAGAAAGAGCTTATTTTCTCTTACATACCCATGACTCACCCAACAGTATAGTGAAAGAAGCAGCATGCAATCTTGTTCATAGCATGCAATAATCATGTCATGAATTTTTAAACTGGGTTCCAAGAAAGAGTCAACAAACTGTGAACCACTAAGTCTGATACTGATACCAAACAAATTAGAAGTTTCCATTAAAATCAGAATGACCGGACAAAATAGATCATGGGACAGCATCAACATGCTTTAATAAAGGGAAGTCATGCTTCTCAAATCTAGTTAAGTTCCTTGAAAGAGTCACCAAGCATAGCAACAAGGCAGTTACAGTTGATAATATAGATGAATTTCCAAAAGGCCTTTGATAGACTCCTTCATCAAAGTCTTTTAAAGAAACAAAGCTACTATGGGGATAAGCAAGGTTCTCAAGTGGATAAAAATATTGGTTAAAAGACAGAAAAATTGGGGCCAGGAAAACAATATTACTAGTTTTCAAAATTAATGTCATCAGGGGATTTCCCACAGACATCTTGGCTCAGTTCTACACCTGCCAGTACACTGATATGTCAGATAGTGATCTAGGAAATGGGGGTTGGAAGTAAAATGACAGGGTTTGCTGATGCTGTTATTCAAGAAGTAAAACTGACTGTAACCTGCAGGAGCATCTCATGAGCAACAGAGAACAAGGCAAATGAAATTCCACCCAGACTGCAAAGGGAAACACAATCCTAATTTAAGATACTGACAGACTCAGAAGTGGTATCTCAGAGGTGTAACCAGTACAAAACCAACCCAAACCAAAGAAACAGCCCGGCTCTAGACTTACTAAGACTAGAGGTACATCATCTTTATTGAGAGAGTGGCAAAACACTAGAACAGAATTCCTAGAGAGGTAGTTGATGCCCCAAGTCTGTGTTTAACAGGCTCTTGGGCAATACCCTTAATAATATGCTTTAATTTTTGGTCAGACCTGAAGTGGTGAGGCAGTTGGACTAGACAGCCGTTGTAAGTTCTTTCCAACTGAAACAGTCTAGTCTATTCAACAACTGTTAAAAAGGCAAACCAAATACTAGGAAATTTTAGGCAACGAGTAGGAGATGCAATGGAAATTATTCACCACTTCGTAAATCCATGCTGCTGTGAATGACTCTGGGAGGCTGTATACAGCTTTGCTTCCCTTCTTTTTATTTATTTGAGATAGACAGACACACATATGCAATGAGGTCTCTCAAATCATGAGTAACATGGAAAAGCTGATTAAGAAAAACTGTTCATTTTCTTCCTAAACAAATGCAAGGGGGTATTAAGTGGAACTGACAGGAAACAGTCGAAACAAACCAGCAGAGTCTCCACTCTAGTGGGGGATGTTCTGAATGCCAGATTTTCACATAGGTTCAAAAAAATAATAGAACAAAGTGATGGAAGAGAACACCACCACAGGTGGATCATGCTACTTCTCACTCACAGGTCTGAACAACAAATCACTAAATCCTCACAAAAAGTTTTGGAAGGTATCACTGTTGGCTTGCCCTAACCTGACAGTCTTCACCAGATTCCTACTACTGGGGACAGGGAACAAAACCAGAAATTTATTAAAAGGACCTTTAACATACAATTAGGAAGCACTAACAAAAGATCAGATCAAACCTGTAAAGTTAATGTAGCATATATGCAATTTCAAGTCTGTTCTTTATAAATCAGACCACAAAAAATATACAAGAAATAGCATAAATATTGGAATTTTTGTTCAACAGCTACTTTGGAACTTTTAAGTTGCTTAAGTGTAAACTAATGGAGTAGCTGACATCGGCATTGTGTTGTGCCTCTCTGCAAACAGGACCGCTGAACAGGAATGAATGCTGGGCTTGCCTTAATATTGGTTATTCACCCTAATTAAAATTCTTATTTGATCTCTGACTCCTAGAGGCCATTTCCAGTCCCCACCACAAAGATTCTTTGCCCAGATGGTCTCTGGTCTTTGACATCTCTCTCCAGAGATCATCACTACAATGCCTTTCAAAGTTAGTCTACTTCAGCACTTAAGTCCTTTTCATCTTTTGATTCATCCTCTATGACTTCTCAGCTTTAGTTTCTCTGTCTTAACAGAATGGATCTTTGTCAGGTCTGTCAGTGTACCAGCTGGCCTCCTATTACAAACTTGTTGCATTGTAACTAACAATTCCTCCAAACTCATCCAGTGCCAATTTCTGATATGGGATCAAAGACCGATTTGCAGGTTTATTCATCAGTATGTCTCTAAATCATAGTCTTCAATTCCTTAGCTATGACACCCTTCTGGACAAATAAGGGCACAAGGGAGGCCAACATACTGCTCTTCAGAAGAGGCAGAGGAACTGTTTGGTCAGCACTCAGAATAGCTACTACCTCAAAAGCTGAACTCTTAGTGTTCCTTCTTCTAACAGGCCACAAGACAGCTTGACAGCATTTCCAGTGTTAAACAGTAATGCACTCACTGCTCTATATAATGTGTAACTGAAATCTTGGGAAAAAAACCCATGTGTTTAAATGCATATACCCAAAAACTGTCTGTGCCTACCCATTTGCCAAAAGAAGCACATTTATACTGTGGCAAAAAATTAGCTTGTGTTCTTCTACATGATACCTATAGCTAAGTACTGAAGTCAGCTGAAGCCTGCCTGGGGAAGTCCAGAACGTACCAAGGATTTACAAACCATAATCTTCAAGGGTCAGTACAGAAGCTGGTAATAGGATGGTAGTTATGGAAAAACATCTGGTTTTGACAAGCATATGTCAAAACTTCACTTATGTTAAGTACAGCAACAGCGAGAGGGATGCAGAGTCTCAACGTAAGCTTGCAGTGCAGGTCCCATCATAGAAGAATCATGTTCATTCACTCTGCAGACTGTACATCTTACACATGAGTACTGAATGGCGACAGCTGAAGCAATATGCAGAACAGTCAGTATCAGGAACTGAGACTACTGGAAATGCTAAGGATGAAGCCTTCAGGGAACTGTTAGAGAAACTCCAGTCATATAGGAGGTAAATGTTTGTCCAAGATTTATAACAGAAACTCCAGTGGATTTTAATACAATGAGCGAAGATACTCTTGAGGTGATATCAAAGAATAAAATCATGCTCATTCTTAACCCCACATGGCTTCTGCTTTAACCTTCATTTGTAGTAAAATCCTAAACTTTTATATGGTTCATTCCTAGATCTATATGTAGACACTGATAAAATAAGTAGGCAATATACAGTAAAAAGGTAGCACCTGAAAATGCGGCTCCTTGAGTATTCCAACCAATTCTGCAATATTTTCATCTTTATTTACTAGGGGACTGATATCTTCAAGAATTTCATTCACCAACTCCAGGTTGTTGTCACTGACAGCCTCAAGTTTAGAATCTTCCAGTCGCTCATGAGCCTGTAAGATTAAATATATGAGACTACACTGTAAATAAGTTTCAAGTAGTTACAATTTATAAATCTTTTAAATAAATTCTCTGGCAGAAAAGCCAGAAAAATGACATATAAAATAATATGTATATGTTATCTTCAAAAATGTTGAAGGATTTTGTATGCTTAACTAAATGACCCGACAAACTTTATGAGCAGCACTTGTCACAGATGCTTGTATGTCCTTATTTCTTATAACCTCTACACTATATACACAAAACAGTCCTCTCTGAACAGTACAGCACCTCAGATTTTTTCTGCTTCAGAACCCAGGACAAGTACACCTTCTGGAACGACATAAAAGGAACTCTGGGATCTGCTCAGGAAAAAAATAAAGTCTGCAAGAGAAGCATTTACCCCAGACTTCTACCATTCAAACAACTTCAGCAAATTCTAAAAAAAAGGCAATGGGCACAAACACACACAGAAGGCTCTGTCTAAACATAAGTAAACACTTTTTCCACTGCGAGGGTGACAGATCACTGGCACAGTTCAGTCAGAGAGGTTGTAGCATCTCCCTCCTTGAAGATATTTAACAGCCATCTGGATGTTGTCCTGAGCAACCATCTCCAGGTGGCCCTGCTCAAGCATTGGGGTTGGATCAGATGCCCTCCAGAGGTACCTTCCAACCTCAATCATTCTAAGATTCTGTGATAACTTATCAGCTCTTTCAAGAGCTATGGCTGCAGACACAATCCTTTACTAAACACTGCAGATATGAAAGGTAGGGGCTTTGAGCAGCAAGAGAAACATCTCAAATCTGAATGCTTCACTTATTACCGGTAGCGCTGTATCACAAAATTGGGGAATAAGAGGAGGCCAAAAATAACTAAGATTCTCAATGCACTCAATTAAGGGCTATTTACAACACCATAGCAACAAGAAGTTCAAAGAAGAACAATCTCTCTGGCATGTAAAACCACAACAAATAACAGATATATTTGGGAGTCATCTATATATAATTTCCACACATATATTCGAAGGTATGTGCACACAGAATCACAGAATCAACCAGGTTGGAAAGGATCTTGAAGATCATCTAGTCCAATCATTAATCTGACACTGACAGTTCCTAACTACACCCTATCCCTCAGCGCTATGTCAACCCGACTCTTAAACACCTCCAGGGATGGGGACTCCACCACCTCCCTGGGCAGCCCATTCCAATGCCTAACAACCCCTTCTGGAAAGAAATACTTCCTGACATCTAGTCTAAACTTTCCCTGGCACAAACTGAAGCCATTACCTCTTGTCCTGTCGCTTACTACTAGGTTAGAGACTCATCCCCAGGTCTCTGCACCCTCCTTTCAGGTAGCTGTAGGGGGCGATGAGGTCTCCCCTCAACCTTCTCTTCTCCAGACTAAACACCCCCAGTTCCCTCAGCCGCTCCCCATACGACCTGTGCTCCAGACCCTGCACCAGCTCTGTTGCCCTTCTCTGGACACGCTCGAGTCATTCCATGTCCTTTTTGTAGTGAGGGGCCCAAAACTGAACACAGGAATTGAGGTGCGGCCTCACCAGTGCCAAGTACAGGGGTCAGATCCCTTCCCTGTCCCTGATGGCCGGCCACGCTATTGCTGACACAAGTCAGGATGCCATTGGCCTTCTTGGCCACCTGGGCACACTGCTGGCTTCTGTTCAGCCGGCTGTCAATCAACACCCCCAGGTCCCTCTCTGACTGGCAGCTCTCCAGCCACTCCTCCCCAAGCCTGTAGCGCTGCTGGGGGTTGTTGTGGCCCAAGGGCAGCCCCCGGCATTTGGCCTTATCGAAACTCCAACAGTTGGCCTCAGCCCATTGTTCCAGCCTGTAAATATTAGTGCTTCAAAACAGATGTTAGAATTTTGTTAAAACCAGAAAACTTTTGTTTCCTGAAATCATCTGAGTATTAAGTTCTACTTCATATCTCCAAAATAGTGTTTCTGCAGGACTGACGATCAAACACTGGAAAGGCTAACTTAACATAAAGACATTTCAGACATTCCCCAACACCAACACACATAAACCAAATGACCATGATTACAAAGTCATAGGAAGCTTGGCACCTACACACATTCTCCTTAGTTAGGGAATGTTATTTTGTACAAATATATAAACAATAGCCTTCTTTTAATATATACAGTAAACAATATCCTTCTTTTCAAGTTTACTTCTTTTACAGCAAATAAAAACCCAAATCTATTGACTTTTAAACACAGTCCAACAGCAAAACCTTTATAAGATTATAGAGAATATGGGTTACCTTCTTTCTCACTAATTTTCTTTAAAATACTATCACTAACACAGAGTATAATCTAAATACAAATATCCTCACACTTCACCCCAAAATCAAGGCCTTGGGAAACAGAAAGTTTAACAGTCAACAACCTCTGATCCTGTAATATGTTGGGAAGTAGCAGGATATGGAGTGGTATGAATAATTTTTTTAAAAAAACAGGAATACCTAACATATATTGCTTTTCTTTTTTTCATTTCAGTTCATCATTTCAGAAACAGTGATACTGAACTGAGTCTCTTGACTCATTCAATATTTATCATATTTGCCAAATGTTCAGATAGAAAGGTTTTTGCCTCCAGCAACCTGACATTCTAAATACTGGACTCAATATTTATAGATTACTCCTAAGATGTTTCCTTGGTCTGGGTTAGGCATTTACCTGGTATGCTGTAGTCTGTGCTACTATACTAAAAGCAATTATATGACTGCAGAAGATAAAAGTTTTGAGGTTCAAAAGAATAGTTAGCAATCCAAGAGAATTTTTGATAGGACAGTTCAGTAGCAAAACTGAGTAAAATCTGTGCATGTTCCAAATTCAATAAACGTTTTCAAAAAAGTGTAACAATTCTAAAGGCTAATTAGGACGGAACATAACCCTCAGCACAGGAAAGATATGGATCTGTTGGAGTGAGTCCAGAGGAAGGACACAAAAACAGTCAGAGGGATGGAACACCTCCCCCTCTGAGGACAGGCTGAGAGAGTTGGGGTTGTTCAGCCTGGAGAAAAGAAGGCTCCAGGGAGACCTTATGTAGGCTTCCATTACTTAAAAGAGGCCTACAGGAAAGATGGGGACAAACTTTTTAGTAGGAACTGTTGAAAGAGGACAAAGGGTAAATGGTTTTAAACTAAAGAAGGGTAAAATTAAACTAGATATAAGGAATACATTTTTTACGATGAGGGTGGTAGAACACTGGAACAGGTTGCCCAAGGAGATGGTAGATGTCACATCCCTGGAAATATTCAAGGTCAGGTTGGAGGGGCTGAGCAACTTGATCTAGTTGAAGATGTCCCTGCTCATTGCAGGGAGGTTGGACTAGATGACCTTTACAGGTCCCTTTCAACCCAAACTATTCCATGATTCTATAAACATCAGTAAATGACAGGAAAATACATTTTACAGTGATTACAGTTACTTCCCTTTTCCCCTACCACCTAATGAAGAATGGAAAGGTACAGTAAGAGAACCCTAACCCAAAAATATCTGCAATTTCTGCACTCATGCCTTTATAACAGATCAAGTGTGAAATAATGCAATTTTAAAAGATAAGCCAAACTTAGCATTGCAAAGTATTATAAACTATTCTACTCATTGCTTGAGTTCAGTTTTTTAAGGACCGAAAAGAAAAATTAAGCTTGTTTGGCTCATGGCACATTCTCCTAAATTTCTTTTTGTCCTTTTTGGGATACTTTACATAATGATTAGTCTTAATAACTGACTAATAAAGGAAAATGAAAAAGCTTTTACATTTCTGCCCTGGTCTGATATGAATTTGCTTAAATATTCTGATCACCTCAGGGTCCTGAGAATTGTCCGTTCTGTTAAAACTAACTCTCCTAATAGAAAAACAAGTTTTATGTATTTTTAGAGACAAATGGATATATATGAACTATATATACTTCAAGAAATGTGATGTCATTTTAATCTCATCCTTATTTAGCTCTGCTGGTTAGGACTGAGTTTTTGGGTTAGTTCCAAAATAATTACAAAATAAAATATGAGTGCAGTCATGCCATATGAACACAATTAAAACCTTTCAGCATTCTAGATAAAGCAAGTTTATAGTTAAGAATCTGCTTCCATTACAAGCACTTTTTTACATCTGCTAGTCATTAAATTCCACATAATTGTAATTGGCCATTAAAGCAAATTCTTGGTAAGAAAAAAACATGCTTTTCACCGAACATTTTCTTCATGATAAATATTAAATTAAAGATGACCTACACAGCAGATACTGAAGTTGGAAACAACTCTAAGAAAATGCTTTTACTTACTCTAGTAAATTTAGTACACAAATCTCCCTCTGCAGTCATCTCACTAGCAGATGAGATACTTCCATTATTTCTAAGTTTATTACTATGGAATGTCTTCCACTTATAACCAATTTTTTTGAACAGCTAAACAGAAGTAAATTCTTGCATGACTTCTTAGGAGAAGTTTTCCTTTCCAGATTTTTATACTGAGCAAAATCCCTGCACAACAATCATTCAGCTTTACAGAGTATTTCATGCCTGCCCAGAGGGCACTGCTTTCAGATGTCTATTAGTATTAAGGAGACAGCTACATTTAAGTTAACTGTTTCTTTCCCCATGAAAGGAACTTATTTTTATGAAGTAAGATTAAGAAAGGATATAAGAGCTGTGCAATATTAACTGCATCTCCTACTGGTAAGATCAGCCACATTTTAATTACACAGTCCACAGTTTTTGTAAATATCAACTTACATATCTATAATTGATTGCTACCATCTATAAATAAAATATTTTCATAAAGCAAGACCAAAATTAAGCCCATGTTTTAGAGAGCTGACAATCAAAAGGTCCCTGAATTACTCTGAGATCCAGGAAAGGGTATGGAGACAATATTTCACCTGGCTGACCAGAAAGTTTTTTTTGAGCCAAAGACAGAAAGAAAACTTGTTTATGCCATGGGAGAAAGAAGGTTATTGCTCTCAATTTTCAACTTTGGCAAAAATGCTAAAAGTCAGAAGGTGCATGGGTTTTGCACAAAATAGTGGTCATGAGACTGTATTAAAACCAACTGTTTTAATTTCAAGTATTTTGACATTTTCTTCATAAATAGTGTTACAACATTATTTCTGATGTCTCAATTTTTCTTCTTCTTCTAGAATCTTCCATATAACAATAAATCAGCATGCACAGAAATTACATTATACCAAATCCTCACCTTCAAGAACTCCTTAAGGCTTTTAATAAGATGTACCATACATAAAAGCCATTGTTAATACCTCAATCCATACTCTATGTTCACACAATAATTTAAGAGTTAAAATATTTCCAGATTTTACTCAGAGCAGCAAGTTTTAATACCTTAGCAAGTGATCTTACAATAGGGTTTTCCATAATTCCTTTAAGAAAAATCAGGTCTATTTCTTCAGCTCCTGTCGATGTCGGCAGATCAGTAAGGTTATCCAGGACCTGCTGCATGGCTGCTGACAAAACAAAAACAAGAAGTAAGTACTGACCAAAATAGGCTTGCATAAACTGTATGGAAATTCCACAGTATCAACTTTAGAGGTGTTAAGCAGCTAACTACATCTAGTGAGAGCAAGTGGACAGAACGGAAAAAGAACTTTTTGTTTGTTTGAAAGATGGAAATAAAGTCCCTATCCAAGTCCTCATCACCACCATCAACTTAAATCCAGGCCCAGCACATTCCTTTCAAGATCCACTACTACTTAAAGACTGAAAAAACAAACAACTATAAACTATGTATAAGGTATACGTAATATTCCAAATACAGTAAAAGCAACTAATTAATGGCTTTTTTCATTTAATCTCTTTCTGAGGAAATTTTCAGCCCTCATACATGTACCAACCAACTACAAGTTTCACAATGCTTGCATAGGCAGATGTCACTGTTTTTAAAATGAACACATAGTTCCAAACCAAATTTTTTTTAACCAAAAATTTGCTTGCAAGGCAGCTACTACCTTGGAGTCACTTGTGTCTATCCCCAGAAGTCCTTCACAAGTTTTGACTTACTGCATTCCAGCACTAAGTGTAGCTGGTGCAGATGCTAACAACCTTGAACCACAACACACTGCAATGGGAAGTATATCCTCAATGCACAATACATCGTGCCTGCCCAGTACCCTCAGTGGAGATTTTCCTCGTTATCTACAGACTCAGAGAGAACTGAGTGAGAGTGAATAACGGTGCCCAAGAAAGTCAGAAAATCCCACCATTCCAGCTGTGTTGTCTCATGAAGTCATCAGGATGAGAGACGAGAACTTATTTCCTCTGTGCTTCAAATCTCCCATTTAAGATAAACAAACCAGATATTTTATGTTAGACAACAGGTTCAGTGTGTTCACATATTACAGAATTCTTGTGCATTTGGGCACGTGTGCAGCAGCCCTTAGCTGGGATTATATGAGCTAGCCCCAGGTCGCAGAGATAAACATGTGCCACTTTAGGCTTGAGCACAAAAGGGGACAACAGTGGAGACAGTTATCATGTCCTCCACAAGGTAAATGGTCATTCTTTCCCTGCTTTCCAACATATGACTAAATATTCTTATCTTGGAGTATTATCTTAGTAGTGAATAAGCTATATTGTTCTTGGGTTTAACTATATTCTTTTAAACTCCTGCTGAGTTATATGTGTATGCTCAAATAGACACATACACGTATACTAAAAAAAACCCCAAATCTTCTGTCAAGATCCTCAACAAGCTAAAAATCATTAGAACAACCACTGTGTACTGTAGTGCTCTGCATGTTGCACAGCAGCATGTATCAAGAGAATTAGAAAGCCTATATGCCCCTTCTCCCACATAGAAATCTACCCTTAACTTTCCTCATTGCTTTATAATGAAAGCTATTATGAAACACTGCGCAGTAACAGAACAAACAGCATTTCTCAACACCTACTTTCTAATTTCAATTCTTCCTAGAAAATTCCATCCCAATAAAAATTTTCTGACCATTCTTTCTGTCAAGTAGAAGTAACTTTTCAACATTCAAATCATCCTGTGTGCCACATTTTAACGACAGCAGTGTATATCAAAAGACTGCATTTTTAAAAAGTATGTTGTAACCATACTTCTTACTTTCAAAAAGTGAATCTTCTGTGAAACCATGAGTAGGAGGAAAAATGACACTTACTTTATGCTTTCAGATTCTGAAGGAATATTGTTGCTACTTTATAATAGACAAAGTGTTGTTAGCAATCACACATTATGTAAAGTCACCAAATCAACCTGTAAATAGGCTGCATCTTCCTTAGATTAAGGTATGTCCTATATCCTGAGTAGCTCAGTTGCAGATGTAACTGCCTTGTTTCGCATTTTCTCAATTCTCAGTTATAGACTCATCATTCTTAAATGCAGTCATGCAAGCTGAAGTATCTGCAGTAGACAGACGTTTCTAGCCAATTTACGTAGTGTACTAGTTACTGCATAAATAGTGCATTATAATAATAAGCTTTCTATACATTTTTAACAGTTATATAAATTGTTTTTAAGGGACTTCAGGTTAATGCTTTTGTTCTTATAAATAATCCAAGTAAAAATATAAAGCTTCCTTCAGGTCAAAGCATGCATCTCAACTACCAGTTGCAATTCCAACACTTGATGCTGACAGAGGCGTGCATAATAAAGACATTCCTTATGTATCTCCATGTTAATAAGCTGTTTCTTACATAACCCCTTCAGAATTCTGCCTATCTTAGAATGATAACTTCATCATCAAGGAGAAAAACTGTTAAGAGTAACATTAAGCTTCACAAGAATGACTTTCAAGCTTTGTGCAGCTAGACAGGGTATTTTCAAATGAATATTACATTTAATAAATGTTTCAGAAATTCTAGCATTAAAACTGCTTAACTATCTTTTAGCCTTCTTGGAAGGCAGCAGACACCTTTATCAACATGCAGAGTTCAAAAAATTCAAAGGCAGACTTGCATCCCAGGTGATCAAAACCAGATGTTTTCAGAAATAGCTTTGTATTGCTGTGCATCCAGTGCTCGCCTTCTCTCATGGCACAGCCACCATGGCAAGAGGTTTCTTAGCTATAAATAGCATTGCCTCAATATTAGAAAGAAATCCCCCTGGATTATTTATGTTCCAACACAGTATGGGTTGCCCCAGTATAGCTAGTTCCCCATCTTTAAGGGAAGATCTTTCTAAGTAGTTGAATAAAAAAATAATACTGTTAAGTATCCCTTTATTTTAATGAGCTACCAGATTAAGCAAAATTTTTCAGCATGAGAGAAAGCTTTAAGAATCTTCAACAAAATCTTTGCACCTGTTACCTAGCACATGCTAACCAGAAACTAGAACAATGATTATGTTCCACTGTGTTTATATGCTTCAGTGTTACACCACTTTACATTCACCTGGCAAAAAAACCTCAGAACATTACCAAATACTATTTTTCAAGAAATCAGCAAGAGCATCTTCCAACAGGAGTTATGTCAGCTGGTTTACTTAAAAAGAACAGGCAACAATATATTGGTACTTTTTGTGACAGACTAGACTAAGCACTTTAACTTCAGTGGTTTACATTTTTTATGCAAGTCATGGGCCAGCTTCAAACATAGTTCCCGTTTAATGTGAAATGCTAATATTTGCATACATGTGAAAATAGCTTTGAAAAATCTCAGCAACATGTTGACCTACATATGCCTTAGATATTCATACATGTCCTTTCAAACCATCTGATTTATCCAAAGACAATTTAAAAAGGTGGAGGGGGGAGGAGAGGAAGACACTTTGGTAAATGTATTCTAGACTCTCTTTTTATGTATCTATTCAACAGGCTTTTGTTTATTCATTTCTAGGGAAAAAATTCTTATTAAAATACAAACGGCAGGAGATATGTTGTTTCCTGGATTAATTATAATGATCTTTCAGAATAATGTAGATACACAATGGAATTTCAAGTAGCAGTCTTTAAAATAATTTCTTTTTTTTTTTTCTTTCCAGGGGCAAAGCCACCTTAGCTCTTTTATACAAGTACCTTATCTTTGAGCAGCAGGAATGAAAGCTGAAGATGTAAGTAGGAAAATAAGATGTAAGTAGATGTCACATAGGAAAATTTTACTTAAAAGATCAGGTCCTATCAAGCAAGAAACAGATGGAACTAAGGAGTTTAGAGACTACCAAATCCAAATACCCTACCAAAAATTGCCTTTTGAGCCTCCCATCTCTTCTCTGGCAAATCTGCCTTTGAAATGCTGATAGAGGTTACTCACTGGGGGAAGAAAAAAACCCACCACCTGTAAAACTTAAATGTAAGTCAGGCATACAAGAACTAAGGACTACAATGAACAAGCTGCATAAACCAGATTGTCAGGAACACTCATTGTTGAATACTTTGATGTCCAGTAAAAAGCAAATGCATGCTTTTCCTTCCATGGAAAATTAATTGGGTGTCTCTTGCCTCTCTCATCCCATCTTTCAGAGGAAACCGGTAAAAACATACTAACTTTGAGAGCTCCACCACGCACCTTCTTCTCTCTCTAAATACAAGACTTTTTCTATATTCAAAGACCCATCTGGGTAAAATTTTAAATTCTCATCACAACCACAAAATTATTTGCTTTTGAGAGGACAGCATGAGATAGGCATGGCTGACTACAGCAGTTAACAAAACCATCTAGGAACACACACATTACTAGAGACACACATTGACAACAGCCTCCAGACAGAACAGGAGGAATTGAGCAGCAGAAAGGGGCTCTCAGTTGAGGCAAGGTGTTGAAATAAAAGGATTCTTAGGAAAAAGTGACAACAGAACCGAGTCTGAGCTGGGACTCCTAAGAGAAAATAAGATTACAACGGGCCACCCTCCACTCCAGCCCTGGCTTTAGTGGCAGGGAACATACACATACGATTAATTTCCACAGTCAATTTTCAAAGAACATCTTCATAATCATAGGAAGTTTAAAGCCTCAAGCAAGACTCTGCAGGAGCATACTGGCCTGATGTGTACATGCTCTGAACAATTTAATCCTACTATGTATATTACCCCAGACTCAAAATAGTTTGTCATTTGAACACCGTATCAAAAAGGGAAAGGGGTGAAAGGCATGATAATTGATCTCTGTTGCAGACAGAATACACTGAGGCATAAGAATACATAAATCCCACTTTCTAATGCAAAATTTACTAACCAGAATTAACTCCTCCTAATTCACATAAAGCTCTTCAGACAACCAAAAGATGTTTCAACGGTTTAATCTACATACTGCACCTTACAATAGTAAATTCAGATCAAATGGAAATAAAAGATACTATGATAACTCTTCTCTTCTTGTATTTATATGAAAAAGACAGGTTTCCACCAAGCTCTCAACTGTGACTCTTCTATCAAATTTGATTTTATTCTTTCTTGCAGTTCCTAATTCTTGTCTATATTAATTCTATATAAAGGAAAGAGGAAGCATACATTTAAATAAATTTTCCAGATCGGCAGACAGAAGACAAATGTGTCACTCACTAGGGAAAATT